GAAAAAGCCCTACAAATCAATTTGTTGGGCTTTTCAACATGAAATTGGTTCCGTAATCGACCTACCCAATGCATATTACACATAAAAGAGTCGAAATTACATCAAAAAATGGAAGCCCAACCCTTCTTCAAGCTTGATTTCGAATTTTCGAATTTTTTTTCTTTTTTTTTAGCTATTTGCAGTTTTGGGGGGGGGGGGTTTGGATATTTTTAAAAGTTTTGGGGTTTTTATTATAAACCGCGAATAGCAATTTTGTGACCGCAAATAGCATTTCGTTTGATTTAAGATGAAACCTAAAATATGCAAATACCCATTCTAAAAGGAAAAAAAAATTGAAGTAGAAAACGACATCGTTTCAAGCACCGCGTCTGACATAACTTCTATGGAGTATATAAATCTCAACGCCACCGGCTTACCTACCAATTCCTGTCTCCATCGGCAAAATGTTCAGAAAAATTAAATAAATAAATAAATGAATAATAGTGCACTTTCCAGTTTTCCTCCCTTGCCTAAAAAGTTAAACCTTTTCACCAGCACTTAAAAAGATCCCACTTTTTAGAGAGAGAAGATAGAGAGATAGAGAGAGAAAATCTTGATGATAGAGAGAAGCCATTACTAAATCTCCAAGAAAAACAGCAAGACAAAACAAAGAGAGTGAATCACATGCATATAGATACATAGTGTACACATATACTTGAGAGAGAGAGAGAGAGAGAGAGAGAGAGAGAGAGAGAAAGCATGCTTTGTCGGCCATTAAAGCTTCAGTGAAAGGACTGGCAAATCTTCCCTCCATTTGCTGTAATTGCAGAAAGAGTCCAAAGACAGAATTTTGGGTTATCTTTTTTTTTTTTTTTTTAGCTGTTGTTTTTTTGCTTCTTAAGCAACACAATTTTCAATTCAAATTAAATACCAAAGTAATCAATTCGATTCATTGCACTTGGAGTCTTGCCCCCCCTCCCCCTTCTTCCATGCTTCTACCATTTAAATAAAAATTGAATCTTTATCCCTCTCTCTCTCTCTCTCTCTCTCTCTCTCTCTCTCATCATCTCAAATCCCGCATGTGGATTTGAATTACCCACCATTCTTGGAAAAGAAAACAAAATAAATAAAGGGTATTTTTAATTTTTCAATTCACTCAAATTCCCATGACTTTTGCTCTGTGTTCTTCCCAAGGCATCACTTGATTACAACCCGGGGTTGAATTTCATGGAGCTGAAGGTACGCACACTGTGTGTGTTTCTGTGTGTGTTTTTTTCAAAATTTTTTTCCTGGTAAATTAATTGGTTTCTGTGTAGTTTCTGATATTGTCAAATTGTTGACTATATGCAGATGTCACAATTTGGTGGATGAGTGAATTGCTCATCAATTTGTGTATTCATATTTGGAATTCTTTAGTTCCCACAGTTGTTGATTATGATTCACAACTAAATCCAAAAATCCCATTTTAGCAGAATCAAGGAATAAATTCAAGATTCAGACAAAGATGGTGTTGTCTTGGTATCATGTTTGGGGATTCATAGGAATCTTGATGATGTTGATTCGTCCTTCGATAGCGTTAAGTGACGAAGGAATATACCTTCTCGAATTGAAGAAAACCATTCTTGATCCCAGTAATTTTCTATCGAATTGGAATCCGAATGACCACACACCTTGTAATTGGACAGGTGTCAATTGCACCGCAGCAGCAGAAGATTACAATCCGGTAGTTTGCTCTCTCGATTTGAGCTCTCGGAATCTCTCGGGTACTCTCAGCTCCTGGATTGGCCGACTATCGCATCTAACTTTTCTTGACGTCTCTTTCAACGGGTTCTCGAGGAATATTCCCAAGGAGATTGGAGATTGCTCGAATTTGGAAACCCTCAACTTGAACGATAACCAGTTCGACGGAGAAATCCCAGTCGAATTGGGCAATCTTTCTCGTTTGGTGAGCCTCAATATATGCAACAATCAAATATCCGGTCAAATTCCGGAAGAATTCGGAAAATTAACTTCTCTTGTCCAGTTTGTGGCGTACACTAATAACCTTTCCGGCTCGTTGCCTCAATCCTTCGGTAACTTGACGAACTTGAGAGTTTTTCGAGCGGGCCAAAACGCAATTTCTGGAAATTTACCATCCGAAATAGGCGGTTGCATAAACCTCGAAATTCTTGGTCTTGCACAGAATCGAATCGGAGGTAACTTGCCCAAAGAGCTAGGCATGCTCAAATGGCTAACGGATCTAATTCTTTGGGATAATCAGTTCTCGGGGTTTATTCCAAAGGAGTTGGGAAATTGCACGAGCCTTCAAACACTTGCATTATACCAAAACAATTTTGTCGGAGAAATTCCAGCCGAGCTAGGAAATATCAAGTTCTTGAAAAGATTGTATCTTTATCGAAACGGATTAAACGGAACTATTCCGAGAGAAATCGGAAACCTCGATTCTGGTCTCGAAATCGATTTCTCCGAGAATTATTTATCCGGTGAAATCCCGACTGAGTTGACTTGGATAAAAGGTCTCTATCTACTCTACCTTTTTCAAAACGAGCTCACGGGTGTTATCCCCCCTGAGCTGAGTAACTTGAGAAACCTCACAAAGCTCGATTTGTCTATTAACTATTTAACGGGCCCCATTCCGTTTGGCTTTCAGTATCTTCCTCGAATGAGCCAATTGCAGCTGTTTGATAATTACTTGAGTGGGAATATACCTCAAAGACTCGGTTTTTACAGTCGGCTTTGGGTGGTTGATTTTTCAGACAATCAATTAATGGGGAGAATCCCACCTCATATATGCTGGCATTCGAATTTGATTTTGCTGAATCTTGAGTCGAATGGGTTGTATGGGAATATTCCGTTTGGCGTCACTAATTGTAGCTCTTTAGTGCAGCTGCGTCTGAGCGGTAATAAGCTGAGCGGAACTTTCCCTCGTAATGTATGCAAACTCAAGAATCTTTCTGCTGTTGAATTGGGTCGGAATAAGTTTAGTGGAGCGGTTCCTCGTGAGATTGGAAGCTGCCAGAAGCTGCAGAGGCTCGATTTGTCGGGGAATTCCTTTTCGGATAAATTACCGACGGAAATCGGTGATTTGTCCCAGCTTGTTGCATTCAATGTTTCGTCGAATTTTTTCGTCGGTGAAATTCCGTCGCAGATTGTCAACTGCAAGGCCTTGCAGAGGCTCGATCTTAGCAAGAATAGATTCGTCGGCAACGTACCTAAAGAATTAGGGAATCTTTCTCTGCTCGAGCGACTTATTCTGTCGGAGAATCTTTTTTCGGGAGAGATTCCGGCGGAGCTAGGCGAACTCTCTCACCTGACGGAGCTTCAGATGGGCGGCAATTTGTTCTCCGGCGAGATTCCAGCGGAGCTAGGCAATCTCGTCGGGCTCCAAATCGCGATGAATCTCAGCTACAACAATTTATCGGGGAATATTCCGCCTCAGCTCGGGAATCTAATTTTATTGGAATATCTTTTTCTCAACAACAATAATTTGAGCGGCGAAATTCCGAGCTCGTTCGCGAACTTGTCGTCTCTTTTAGGATGCAACTTCTCTTACAACGAACTAACGGGCCCACTCCCATCTGTACAGCTGTTCCAGAACATGAGCATTGCTAGTTTCGTCGGAAATAAAGGCCTCTGTGGGGGGCAACTTGGTAATTGTACGGGCTTCGGAAATCCCTTTAACACAGTTCCTTCTAGTCTTGGAAGCTCGGAAGCTTCCAGAGGAAAGATCATAACTGTAGTTGCTGCTGTAATAGGCGGAGTTTCTCTCATACTAATCGCGGTTATTTTGTACGTGATGAGGTGTCACCCGGTCGACTCAGTTCCTCCTTCCTCGCAAGAGAAGGACGTAAACGTAATTTCAAACGATTCGGATATTTACTTCCCTCCGAAAGAAGGGTTCACTTTTCAAGACCTTGTGGAGGCGACGAATAATTTCCACGATTCTTTTATTATCGGAAGGGGAGCTGTGGGGACCGTTTACAAAGCCGAACTGCAAGCGACTCAGATAATCGCGGTGAAAAAACTGTCGTCCAATCGAGAGGGTAATGGAAATAGCATTGAAAATAGCTTTCGGGCGGAGATTTTGACTTTGGGGAAAATAAGGCATCGGAATATTGTGAAGCTTTACGGTTTTTGCTACCACCAAGGATCGAATCTTTTGTTGTACGAGTATATGGAGAGGGGGAGTTTGGGGGAGCTGCTTCATGGTGGGGCGGCGGCGGAGTTGGGGTGGCCGACGAGATTTTCGGTGGCTCTTGGAGCGGCGGAGGGGCTTGCGTATTTGCACCATGATTGTAGGCCGAGGATTGTGCATCGTGATATAAAGTCGAATAATATATTGCTCGATGAGAAGTTTGAGGCGCATGTTGGTGATTTTGGTTTGGCGAAGGTGATTGATATGCCGCATTCCAAGTCCATGTCTGCAGTTGCTGGATCGTACGGGTACATAGCCCCCGGTAAGATTCCCGTTTTTTTTTTTTTTTTTTTGAAGTTTCTAACTTTCTTAGATTCCGATTTTGATTTTCGAAAATATTTTTAAGAATTCTGATTATCTTACAAAAATTACACTTACATATCAATATTATTATGCATTTTGTGTTGTAGGAGACTAAAAAAATTGGAATTTCCGATTCCGATCCAAAATTTTCCAATTTTGGAATAAGTTTTTTCGTTGCAATTTATGAAATCCCGATTTCCGGTTTTTTTTAGAACGGAATTGGAATTAGTTCTACTTTCGAAAAAAAAATTCCAACGGTGCTAATTCCGATCCAATTATCCGATTCCCACCCCTAAGTAAAGCCACACTATTTTAGAAAAATAATAATAATAATAGCAATAATATTCTAATGTATATTCTTTTAGTAATGATCTATTTATTTATTTATTTTATTTTATTTTATTTCGTGTGCAGAGTATGCATACACCATGAAGGTAACGGAAAAATGTGATATCTACAGCTACGGTGTAGTACTTCTCGAATTGTTGACTGGGAAAACCCCCGTACAGCCCTTAGAAGAAGGCGGTGATCTCGTTACGTGGGCCCGTAATTACATTCGGGCCCACTCTTTGTCAACCGAGATTCTAGATAGTCGTTTGGATTTGAAAGATGAAGTCAATGTTAGTCACATGATTAATGTGCTGAAAGTAGCACTTATGTGCACGAGCATGTCACCGTACGATCGGCCGACTATGCGTGAGGTTGTAATAATGTTGATTGAATCGAACGAGAGAGAAGCGAATGGTTACGCAGTTTCGCCACCGGATTATGACGTTTCTCCGAAAGAGAATGGATTATGAGTGTAAGTATGTTGACTTTTATTTTGCTTTTACAATTAATGTAACCCCTTTTTTTCCTTAGATTTGACTCTTTGTTATTAGATTATAGAAATTTTTATATGTAATTTCCTTTTGAAGAGAACATGTTGATGCAGAATTAGTTGTATATTCAGATCTATTTGCATAACCTCATTTTTTTTTTGGCTATATAGTAAATAACTAGTTCAACATTTAGTTTTATGTATATTGTATACAGTAGGAGTGGAAATCGAATGGAATGGATCAGAGATGGTTTTTTCGGAAGTAAAAAAATGGGCTCTAATTTCCGTTTTAAAAAAATTGGAATGCAAAAATTCATTTCGATTTCGGAATGTCGCGCAATTGACGGAATTTCAGAAATTTCGGAAAAAATAAATATTAATTAATGAACGCTTATTCCAAATTCGGATATCATGAGAATTTTGACAATTCTATCTTTTTTCGAATTTTTGCAGTACACTGCAAGAAAATTCAAAAGAGAGTTCGGCAAGATACAATAAATAAAACCACATGTAGCAAAAGCTCACAAGACAACTTTTTTTTATGGTTGGGAAGTTGCAAAAAGCCTTACATATATTATAACAATCATTTCATCATTTGAAACAAATTGCAGATCACAAGTCACAAGTAATGTATAATGGCCACTATTTCTAAGGAATATAATGGTAATCAATCAAGAATTATCTCTGAAAAAAAAATGTTCTTTTCTTCTTCTTTTAAGATGAAATATTCATTTCCGAAAATACTAATAGAAAATCGAGATTTAATTCGGACACATCCAAAGTTCGTAATGGCGATTATATCATTTCTAGTTGTCTATTAAATGCTACATTTGATTATCTACCGTTCATCCGCATTAAAAACCTTGGATATATGTAATAAATGGTAGATCTCTACCAGTACTCTAGTATACTCCGTCGGGTGTAGCATACGTAAATACCCTTGCTTTACTCTCGTACACTCCGCCGAGTATAGCATTTAAAAATGCCCTTTCTTTATGAATAATATGTTCTATTTAAACTTGTGAATGTGAATCAATCACACTAAAAGAACAAATAAATGGTTAAATCATGCAAATATTATTTTAATTAATTCCCTTTACTCTTTAAAATAAAATAAAAACTGAAAATATCCATTTCAAGAACACATTAAAAAGTTAATTATTACATCCATGGGAAGTTTTTGATCCAATTAATCCCATTATTACTAAAATAAAAACCATCTTCTTTTACAAGCCAAAAACACTCTCCACAATCACCGCACCTATACCTGTCTCGGCTTGCTCGAAAAACTTCGAATTTCATCGTCTTTTCGTCCCATTTCATGGTGCAAACGAATCTAGACGAACTCCAAAAAGGGTTGATTTTGACTGTCCAGCTGTAGTCGTCGCGCTCTTGTAGGGCCCGCCCACCGATATCTCCGCTGTCGTGAGAGACACACCACACCACCAAAGGCAACGACGAGTTGTTGGAGAAGCCGTTGATTATTCGGACATCGAAAGTGATGCCAAAGTAGGCAGGTTGTATGAACACGATGAAAGTTGTGTAGAGCGCTAAACCGAAAAGGACGAGTATCAAAGCATCTGCAGGTTTCATTGTTTGGAGGTGTGTGTTTGTTTACATGGGGAAAATAATGGGGTTTATAAATATAGGTGTTGTTGAGTTTGATAGGGGCTTTTTTCTTTTGGTGAAGTAATTATCTAGAGCGGTTCGACCTATACTACTCTCGATGAACTTCATTCGGTGGTGTAGATCTTACCATACACGTGTATTGGTCACTACCTATTTTTATCATTCACATATATCCGTAAAGTTCGGCGTAATGCACCCGATGTAGTATAGATAAGACCATGACGGAAAGTCGATGTTATAAATGCACGATTTGACTGTATTCAATGGATTGAAATATGAATACGATGTAAAATTCATCAAATATTGGGGAAAAGAAAACCTTGGATTTACCTTTATAAGAATGCAATCTTATGTTTTCAAAACGTAATTATGAGACGGATTAAAAGTAGAGGTCGAACCGACCTTTAACTGACCAACTCGAACACGCTAAATCAACCTAAATCAAATTATATTTTATGCATCAAGTTATATGAATCCGTAGCATTTATGAAATCTTCGGCGAGAATTGATCATATTTTGTTCATACAAAAAAATGGATCATACTTGGCTAAATAATTTCGATAAATTTCATTATCTAGACTTTTTCATATTACTTTTTAATTTTATTTTATTTTTGTTTGGGGGGTTGGCGCCAAAATGACACCAAAAATCAACATGAATTTAGGAATTCGAATAACGATTAACATTGAAAAATTAAAAAGCAAGAAAGTGAAGGGTACCTGCCTAAAACTCCTCCAATATATACAGACTCTGAGCAGCAACTCGATTACCTACTGTCTGCTAAGCTAACCAAGTGAGCAATTACATCTTCGAGCCGAGAAAAATGGTTCAAAAACTTTTCATGAACTTCCATCGACTCGTCTCGATTCTGATGCCACTGAGAAAGACCATCACCCATAATTTTCAAACCACTCTGCAGCAACTCCACTCCTCTGCAAATTCCATCCGGAAATTTCCTCTTCTTACTATTATTCGGTTTTTCATCCTCGTCAATATCCATCACATCGAATAATTTATCCCCCAAATCACGTTTTTTCAAATAGCTTCTAACAATATCTTTCAACACTAAACCTTCTTTAACGAACATGGGGCTAGCTTGTATAGTCGGGCATGCAGTTTCTTTCTCCAAAACCAATTTCAGCTCCGACATAAATCGATCTTCATGCGGTGAATCTGCTAAGTCCAAATCGTACGAGAGTGCAGCATCTTGCGGTACGAATCTCCACAGCTGATTACACGAAGTACGGGCAGCGAAGTATCCAAAGGCGGTGACAGCTAGGTGAGTGAAAGCCCAATGGCGCTCCTTTAGTAGCATGTGGTACAACTCCCATGCAGCTATACTTCTGGGGCTGTCGTCACTGTCAGACAATTCCACGTGACCTAGACCAGCCATGAAATTAGCTAGGTTGGGTTTGCACAGAAACAGTTGATTGTCTGATGGTGCTGGTTTCGAGATAAAAAGGTGTTGAAGCTCCAAAATAACTTCTTCCATTTCATCGAATGAGTACAAGTGCTTCATGTTGGAAATGATGCCTAGCAATTCGCTGAGAAGCCTTCGGAGATTATCTTTGGTTGTGTTGTCTGAGGAGGTTCTGTACTTGTGAATGATAGTAACTAGGAACTTCAATGTCTTCATGTCAGTATCTGATAGGCTGACCTGGCTAATTATATAAAGGGAAAGGTTTTATTTATTATTTTTCTTAAAGGGTTAATGTTTCGAAATTTAGAATTGCAAAAACTTACTGAGACTGCAATGCGGCACAGAGAGCAAAGACGGGAGCACCATAAACATCAGAACCGCTTTCTCCAGGTGACACGTCATCAAAGCTCTCCAGGAAATGATAATATTGAGTTACGATTCGTTGCTTAGCAATACTTCGTTTCTTTTCCGAAAGAGAATTTAGGGGAAAGCCTTCCATGAGTAGTGCTACATGCACGTTTAATGCATTCTGGGATCTGCTACTTTCGAATATAGAAGTGTAAACTCGATCAACCGTGAATTCCGGCCCATGTGTTACAAGAATACAGATAATTCTTGCAGTTTTACGAAGAGCACTCTCAGGAATTAGAACTGATTCTTGAGATGATAGCATCAATACTGCGCAGAGTTTATCGACAATATCATTTACCATATCGGGCTCGGCATGTCTTAGAATAAAACACCATAGTTCAGTGACGATTTCCCAGCAAAGGAAGTGAGGGTGGAAAATGTTCTCCATCAAGAATAATTCTACTTCATTCCATGCAAGACTCGAAGCGACCACAATAACGAACGTCTTCAGTGCATGAAGTACAGCAGAAAACATGGGTTGGTAAGTTAATTTCTGGTTTTCAAACATCGGTTGGTAAGTTAATTTCTGGTTTTCGCTAGAACCAGGTAGTGTAGGATTCTGCAAAACAAGAATAGAACAATATACATCTTCGTCCACGAGTATGTCCAAAAGCCATCCAAGCTTTCTAGCAATACCAAGTCTGACATCAGCATCTAGATCGGGAGCAGATGCCAGAAGACTAATAAATAAGACAACTCTACCAAGGGAGAGGGTCTTGTCCTTATTGATAGCATCGGGGCTTACTGAAAATATCGAATCTAATGAACTGTGGCTACTGTTAATGCACTCAGAACTGATGTCACTTTCACTGTTAAACAACCAGTCCAAAATCTGGTACTTGTTTTCTTGCCTCACCTGAGCTGAATTTAATAGAGAGTTGAGCAAGTGCAAGCATGTCGGCTCCAGAACATCCGCCGAGACTTCACTAGCACATTTCAAATGTTCCATCGTAAAGAGTGAGATTCGGAAGGCTACTATCATGACAGCACAAAGTGCTATCTCTTTGTACACGAAAAGGGCTTGGGTTTGGTAGTGAGATATAATTCTTACAGCAGTGATCAGATAAAACTTAACTGGAAGGAAAATCCTTTTGGCTTCTGCTTCAGACACATTTTCAGTCATCGAAGACGACCATGTTTGAGCAGCACATCTTAATGACTCTGTGGCCAGTGAAATTAGGTTCGTAATAACACCTTTTACGTTCACCTTTGATGCTAACGCACCCTTGCCTAAGTGAAGCAATGAAACAACACCTTTCCACGACATATTCAGTAGACTTACGAGACTGCCACCATCAGTAGCAGCAACTGTTCCCAATTCACATAAGTTTTCTACCGTACAATTGATTACGTGGATGACATGGTCGCCAATTTCAGTCTCTTTCGAATCAGTTATGTTTTTATCTTCAGCTTCCGCATATACCTTGCACAATCTAGTCACGGCATCAACAGCAACCTGGGCTCCCTTTAACAACTGCGAACCTATCACGTGAACCCTCTGTGGAACAATCACAGAGTGCAATGACCATTAGCAATAAGTGCAGTGAATGTGCATCAAGGCTCAATCTGACACAATAAAGTACAAAGAAAACATGGACCACTTATGATTAATGAATGCTTTGGGTGCAAAGAAACCTTAATACGAGTACGACCATCAAAGACTGATGTGTAAAAATCTAATTGGCTTACTAATCGGAACAAAACATAACTCATGCTCATATCCAGACACAGAAATGTGGAGCATAATGTCCCCCATATCGACTCTGAATTTCAAAATAAGTTACTGGCCACATATTAATAGGAGAAAGGGCATGTCCATTACTTCGCCGATAAAACACCCAAACCCAATGGTTATACTTCCATCAACAAAGCAATACCAGAAGGAAAGACAGACCACAGGTTCTTCTTAAATCTTCCGCAAAACAACATTACTGAATTCATATGCTGAAATAATGGTTATACTTATATAAAAGCATGACGGGCAAATGATAGAAGCATAATCACAACTACTAGGTTACGTATAGTCCAATGATAAATCAACTTTACCAGATAATATAAGTCGAAAATTTAATGTGCGTGCAACTACCTTTATCTCGGAGACCAAATCTTTCATCAGGTTGAACTGTTCTGAAATAAAATTCTCTAGGCTGACCACCAATTCCTTATTTGCGGGAACAGGGTATCTTGCTAAAGCTGAATAACTGGCAGCAGAGTAGCTGAGCAAATCCAGAACCAACTACAAAGAAATTGAAGTATGTCAAAAAAGACTTAAAGACTTTATTCATGTAAGTTATGCATTCATCTTCAAAATTACTTTTGTAATGGAATAGATACCGCTAGGGCAGACATCATCAACCTTAAACTTTCTCACTTGTCTATCATCCATAAATGCACTTTATTATGAGGTAACAACCATCAAAATGCAAATTCAGACTTGTAACCAGCGAAGACAACGACATAATACCAAACAAAGACATTTTACCTGATAAAAGAAACTAGAATGCTCTTCTTCCGGAGAATCCTCAATTGACATTAGTGTCATTTGAAGATGCTTTCTGCACCATATGTTTGCCTAAGATGATGATAGTCAAGATAATACTCAGACATCAGAACGAGAACCAACAGATAACAATGCCCCAGTGAGAAATATCTACTACTTATTTGAAGAATAAGGAGCTTACTTGTGTTCCTAGTACAAGAAATTGTACTAGACATCCTGATATGTCTGAATCCAAGTGTTTTGCAGCCACATCTAAAATAGTTTTATTCAATGTGCACTGAGATATATCCAAACAAGTAAAGTTTTCCCAGAATGTCTAAAAAGTTAAGGCAAATAATGATATAAGTTGTAACAAAATAAGACAGAACGTGGATGGAATTACACGGTAAAAGCAAATATTTGATATCAATCGCTTTGACAGAGTCATGTCATGGATTCGTTAATTTCGAATATCCAGAGACGTCATGGAAGTAAACAGTTAATTGCATTTCGATCCTAATTCACAAAAATAATGGATAATTAAGCACAAAACTATGGAAAAGTAATCATATCACAAGTAACTCACAAAAGGAACTAGGGATTCACACAATTTCTTCTTTATTCTATCTAACAAGCAAATAACCAAATCTCATCGGGTTAATTAGGATACTGTTAATGATTCAACAAGAGATTTCACTTCAGACTTCTCGTTTATATCTAATTCCTCCAATTCCTTTATCAGTTGTACACGATTCTCAACAACCTGCAAATTATTGCCAGAAATTTCAAATATCAGAAAATCGCCACACAAGTTACAACACCATCATATCAAACATTGCATCGAGCAATTAAACTAAATAAAATTATTTGCAGTGAAATATAGCAAGCAACCTCAATTTCTGGGCTTATATACCAAAAATAAATATGGTAAACAAAATTCAGAAGAAGGTCCCTCAATTTCCATACTGAGTACTGAAGTAAAAAAAATCAAATTATTCGCCCTAGAACATACATAATAGTATCACAATTTCAAAAAATACAAACACAAATCTGATGGTTAACCTCATAAACATAAAAACAATTTGTGAAATTCGCACTTAAAATCGGAAAACAGAACGAAATTTGATACATTTCGGAAAGAAGCTTGCCTCGGAAGACTTGATCTCTTCCAGTAAGGTCTGCAATCTTCTCCCCGAGCTCGAGCTCTTCATTTCTGTTTCCCCCTATTTCGAGCACTTTCTCTCTCTACAACACTGTTTCTCTCTCTTTCATTTTCCTTTCCCGCCAATTCATAAAACTTTGTAGGGCTTCATTTGGCATGTTCTCAAAAAAAAAAAAATAATAATAAAAAAATATTATCACAACAGATGAAATAAAATCTGATGGGCTTAGGTCCGGAAAGTCCGTACGTTTGGGCCCAAACAGCCCCTAATTTACACTCAACAGGCCAAGCCCACAAGTAATGGGTTCTTCAAGCTAATTTAGATTTAGAGGCTAATATGATATATTATATATTTATTTATTTTTCTCTATAAAATATTTTTAAAATATATTATATTTTAAATTTAATCAAACTTTACAAATATTTACTATTTTAATTTGGTTTTTTTTTTTAAATTAAATCTAAAAACATTGACTTGTATTTCGTTATGTAAATACCCACGAGGCTCCGCAATTATTTGGTGAAACTCGGGTAATTAGATGTAAATACCCACGTGGCTCCAATTATAATGAAAAATATTTTCCTCTAGAGAGAGAGAGTAAAATTCGGATAATTAGATTTTATACCTAATTATTTACATTGGTGGATTCAAACCATAGATCTTTACATATTCATAGAGATCAATATGTATGTATGCTTCGTAAATGGTTATTTAATCGGGTTGAAATCCACCCCGTATAAATAAACAGATATAACATCTAACTCCCCGAAAAAAACAAAAACAAAAATAAATAAAAAATTGAAGTAATGGCAGAGCATAACAAAGTACATTCATTAAATTGAAGCCAACAATATGCATGCATGCATGCATTACACCAAGAAATTCAAACACAGTACTACAAATTAAACTCGAATAATCAATCCACAAGGAAAATAACAACAGCAACAACACTTAGTTAATTAAAATAACATCATAATTTTTGTTTCTTAAGGTATAATGCCACCAACTCCACCAACGCCGCCAACGCCGCCAGCAACGCCGATGCCGCCAACTTTACCTAGCCCGACGCCGCCAAGTCCGCCAACTCCTCCGATCCCACCTGCAGCGCCCATGCCAGCTCCAATGCCGCCAAAAACAGGCATCACCCCGACGTACCCACCAACGCCTCCCCAGCCGCCCACCCCGCCGTACGAGATGAAGTTTTTCTCATCATCGACGCCGCCGACCGCCGCCCCCGGAGCAGCTGCGGTGGTGGCGACGACATTTTCTGCCGTGTTTTGGGCAGGGGCTAATGCGGTGTTAGTACTAGGGTTTCTTGTTGCTTCATCATCGGTTGGAATGTTTCTTGCGGTTGCATGCGCTAGTACAAGTACTGCAAGAACAAGGGCTAAGTACAGTTTTGCCATATTATCTCTCTCTCTAGCTCTACTCTCTCTCTCTCTCTCTCTCCTCTCTCTCTCTCTACTCTCTCTCTCTCCTCACTCTCTGGATGTCTGGTTAATTGATCTGCAGCGCATGAGTATTTATAGGCAAATATTTAGGGTGGGAGACAGTTGTGAAAATTGAAGACACGGTATACAGTGAATTAATTAATATTTGCATTGAAGTTGTTCTTGTAATATATAACGATCTCGAGAACCCCATTTTTTTTCTCAGCCCGTAATAATTAGGGCAGAGTTAGTTGAATCAAAAGGAGTGATCAATTAATTAAGAAGACGCGCGATAACAAATGTACGTGGTCAAATATTGGGATAATTACAGTTTTGGTCCCTATATTATACATTATTGTCTATTTTGGTCCTTAAACTTTTTTTGGCACAATATTGGTCCTCAAATAATCAGTTTTTTTACAATTTTCGTCCACTATTTGGTAGGAAAAGTCACGCGACGATGCAAATTAACCCCTTCTTTTTACTTGTATTGATAATTTAATCCCAATATCACTTTATTCTTACAATTTCGTCCAACTTTGTTTCAATCTAATTTTGTTAAAAAAAAATACATTTATGAAATTGTAAATCATTTTCCAGCAATACATTAATTACTAAAAAATGATAACATAAGACAGTTATTATAAACTCGATCCTCAGTAAGTCCTAGCTGATTGATTGTTTATTTTCAATAATGATATGATAAATAAATGCACAAAATAAATTTAATTAAAATTATTATAAATTTATTCTCCCAAAGAATTGAGACAAAAGGGGTTGTACATTTACTTTGATCGCGTTACACTTGGCATGCATGCCATGCAATTCGTACAAGATATAATATGCTACGTAGCTACACTTGTCGCAATATCAGACAGAGACATATTTATTGTCTGTACAAAATTGGTTGCTATTTAATATTTATTGTTGCTGCATAAGTTATTAAAATGAATTCCTAATAAGTATAGTTAATTATGGAGAATTAAGGATCTGCTTTAGGGATGTAAATGAGTTGAGCCGATTCGATAAACGCTCGAACTTGAAGCCCAATCGAGCTCCTTCTTAATTGTTTCTTGAGCTCGCGAACCGGTTACGATTTTTTTCTAATAATAAATTCACATAAATAATTTAAATAATAAATTACAGATCATTTTTTTATTTAGAACTTTTAATTGTAATTTTATAATAATAAAATTCTACGTATACTAATATTAATAAAAATCAAAATTAATTAAAAATAAGAATAAAAATTACAACAAAATGGCTCAAACTCGAGCCTAAAATCAAATTTTCGAAGAACTCGAACTCGAACTCAAGTGCGGCTCGTTTATACCCCTATCTGCCGCATTCTAAATTCATTTTGGACATTTCCTTATCAAAATGATTTTTCGAACGATAACATCGGATAAAAATATATATTTAATGATTTAATTAAGTACTTTTCAAATTTAATTATTAAAAAGAACTTTTAATTTGTCACCCAAACATAGACCTCAAATCATTTGAAAAACTTTAATTTTTCATACGATAATGTCTCCACTTTTCAGTTCCACCTCATTTTTATCGAAGTAGATCTGCCCTTTTACATGTAAAGGTATCAAAATTTATGTAGTTTTTCCGAATTTTCAATATAGTTTCCCAATAATTTGACAAAATTACCTTTAATAAAAAACATTTTTTTTAAATGGATAAATCCAATTATTGAAGTGCTTTTCCTAAAATTACGGAAATTTTATTTTGGTAATAATGTAAAAATCCAATAGGTATAATATATATAAAGCCAAACAGTGATTAGTAATTAATTACCTCTCTTCATTGTAAGTTGTATGATCTCAGAAATGGAGAAAATCAATTTCCCTGCCAATAAACTTGCACTAGCCACCATGTTAACCTTTTTACTTCTCTCTCTTGGTATGTTGGTATTTCAAATCTCTCTCTCTCTCTCTCTCTCTCTCTCTCTCTCTCTCTCTCTCTCTCTCTCTCTCTCTCTCTCACATATAGAAAAATATTAAGTTATCCATGTACAATTTTGATGAATTTCTTGTGAATATAATTAATCTTTTCATTATTGTTTATTTTTTGAAATGCAAATTTACAGATTGTGCAATATTAAAAGGAGAAAGTAGAATTGAATGTGAAGGAAAGTGTGAAGATTTTGCTGATTGTAATGAGTTTTGCCAGAGAACAGGTTTCAGTTCAGGACAATGCTACCCTCCTCTTTATCAATACTGTTGTTGCACTACTTGATTAATTTGTGTCTCCAATATTAAATAATAAATAATAATCAAATAATAAATATTATTAATTTGCTTATTTTCTTGCTTCTTATGGATTTATTAATTAATTCATTAATTAATCTATGATGCTATCAAATTGGAGGGGTTAATTTAACATTAGCCAAGCTCATGTCAAAAAGCTAATGAATTTTGGTATTTTATTTTTATTTTTTTGAAGACATTACCAAATTCCAGCTGAATTTCATTGAATGTAAATAGAATATATCTCCAATTAGTAAAAAAATATTACGAAAAAACCATTTTTTAGAAATTTTATCCAGCCCCCTGCAGTTTTGTATATTTTTTACATCTACGTCCAGAAAATGGTGTTAATGTAAGAAATCTACAAATTAAAAATAGTAAACGTAATTACAGAAAAATGAGGGATTAGTTCGTTAATAAAACTATATGCAATGGGTTGGCTCAGGCAAAGTTTGACCTTTGAAGGGCTGAATATCAATTATCTCTAAATGGATTGAGGCCGAGTTTAAAACGGGCCGAATCAAGGCCTTGTTTGATGTATTACTCATTTTAAGGAATATATACAGTTTTCATCCTCAAGTTTGCACTGATTACATATTTGGTCCATAACATTCACAAAAAATATATTTGGTCCCTCATATTTTAATAATTTAATACTTTTGGTCATTTCCGTCAAATTTACCGTTAGTCCATTAGTTAAAGAAGTGATGGGAAACAAACTTGATTCCGTTTAAAAATGTTGAATTTTTGAAACATAAGGGACCAAATATATTGTAATCGATCCAAATTACAGAGATGAAAACTGTATGTTTCCATAAATTAAAGAATTGACAAGTTTATAGGTCCGATATTCCAGATCCTACAACTCTCAGCCACACGTGTACCTAAACTTCCTCCACCGCACCTCTCCGACTGCCACGTGGACCACCTCCTCCATTCTTTATTTAAATAATAACTAATAATTAACCGGTAGAAAAAAAAAAAAAAAAACCATGGCGTTTTTCAGAGTAACATCCAAAAGCATTTCCACCGGAAAGATACTGCTCAACGGCGATCAATGGATTTGTAGGGGATTTGTCTCGGTTACAAGGCTGTCACAGAAAGTAAGTCACAGCATCTCTTCAAAAACCATTATTATAAATACTAACGTAAATAATAATTCAAATATTAAAAATTAAATTCATTAAATAAAAAATAAATTGTACGTGTTAGTAGGCTAAGATTGATAAAGAGACGTGCGGGAAGATAATAGAAGCGGCGGAGACGGTTAAGGACGGGACGAAAGAGGTGGTGCAGGAAGTGAAGCGTGTCGGTGAAGTCGTCGCCGGAAGAGTTGCTAATACCACCGGAAATGTATGTGTTATGATATTATGTTTTTCACTCATTTTAATCTGAATTTCACCAATTTACCAGTTTTGACCTATCTTAAAATTGATAGAAGGGTCGATGTGCTATTTTGTTGAAATTGGGGTCGATGTGCAATATTTGTTAAATTAGGGTTTGTGGATGAAATTGGAGTATATTAAATGCTAAAATTGGTAAAAAAAAAAATGAGGGGTCAATGTGCTATTTTTGTTAAAAATGGGGTCGATGTGAAATATTGGTAAAATTAGGATTTGTGGATGAAATTGAAGAAATGAAATGTTAAAGAGGTATTTTAGTCTTTGGGACGGTTCATGTCTTTTTCTTTTTTATGTAGAAAATATTTGGAGTGTACGGACATGCAGTAAGTATCGTTGAAATTAGAGGACTTATTTGCCATTTGCACATTATATAAATATTGGTTATAGAAAAAGGGAAAGAAATCTATAGCTAAGTAACTTTTTTGTTTTATTTTAAAACCGTAGATGGTGGCGGATGTGGCCAAAAAAGGATTTGAGAAAGCGTCGGAAAATGCAGAAAGTGAAAAAAGCAAGGATGTTTTGGACACCGCCAAAGCCGCTTCAGAAGCTTTTAAGGAGAAAACGGAGAAAAATGATAACAAGTGATAGGGCAATTTAGAGCATTCGATCAATACCTCTTACTGTTGTTCGTTACATATATGTAGTTTACTTTATTTTCATTAGCATACGGGTGAGTTATACACTACGAAGTTAAACAAGTGTTTTGACATTGCACCGTGTTACGAATTTACGATTGTCGTTGCATACTAAACTTGTATTTAAAATGAGAGTGACTTTGTGTTTGTGATTATGATGCAATAGAATGAGAAATCTAAAACATCTATATATATGAAAAGACGACGTATAATAGAGATTTTGTGGTTAATTTTCACAAAACCAAAATGGTTTCTTATGTGATGCAAAGTCACGCATAATGTATTGTACGTACATTGCGTCGCTAGTGTGCCGCATTGGTAAAGGAATACGACTTTGTACGAATCAATTTTTTAATGTAGAAATCACTCTAAGAAGAATGACTTTTAACAACTTGAATTCAACAAAGTGCAGCTAAAGCATTTTGTTATATTGTATATTTGACAATATACTCTGCAGGTTGTTAGTCTGGAAAATATGTATTTTACCATATGCATATTAGACTAGAAATACACATTTGGGGCAAAGTGCACCGAGTTGTATATTTCGAAAGGGACAGTCTGAAAAATTGTTTCTTATGTGATGCAAAGTCACGCATAATATATCGTACATTGCGTCGCTAGTGTGCCGCTTCGGTAAAAGAATACGACTTTGTATGCATCAATTTTTAAATGTAGGAATTGCTCTAAGAAGAATGACTTTTAACAACTTGAATTCAACAACGTGCAGCTAAAGCATTTCGTATATTGTATATTTGACAATATACTCTGTAGGTTGTTGTTAGTATGGAAAATTATGTATTTTACCATATGCGTATTAACTGGAAATACACATTTGACTTGGGGCAAAGTGCACCGAGTTGTATATTTCGAAAGGGACAGTCTCCTTGTTGTACTTTGAGAGGGGAAAGTGCAAAACATGCATTTCTTAGGGGGTGAAGTGCAATTTTCCCTTATTTTTATTTAAAATTTAAAATGTCAATAAGTTTGTAACACAAGCCCTAACGTTTTAATTCACAAGTTTTTTTCTTCTTCACGAGAAAAAGAGTTTAAACGAGAAAAAAAAGGCGCGATAAAATGGCGGTGGCAGGTGGTGGGAGGGCACTGGCGCTGGCACAGCCGGTGACATTTGTAACCGGAAACGCCAAGAAGCTCGAAGAAGTTCGCGCTATCCTCGGAAATTCGATTCCCTTTCGCTCCCTCAAACTCGATCGTACGTTACAAATTCAGGCTCTATTCGTCTTTTTGTGCGGGCGATTGGTTTTTCTTTATTTGACCTTAATTCCCTGATTTGTGTATGGTTTTAACAGTGCCGGAATTACAAGGTGAGCCTGAGGAGATATCGAGAGAGAAGGCACGATTGGCTGCAAAAGAGGTACCACACCCCACAACTGTTTGTAGAAATGTCTAGAAGAGAATGATGGATATTTTGTGGGTGTGAATGTTGATTGTGTTATTTCGTTGTAAATGGAAGGTGAATGGGCCGGTGTTGGTGGAGGACACGTGTCTTTGTTTCAATGCTCTAAAGGGTCTACCAGGTAATTGAAGTGTATGTGCGTACTTTATAAAATGGCAATTATTCTCAATGTGGATTTGCTGATGGTTAATTTTTTTTTTTTACAGGACCATACATGTAAGTATTGTGCTTATTCTTCCATCGAGGTGAAGTGTCTTTTCAAATTTCTGTGTAGGAAATACGAAATTCAAATACACTGGTAAAACTTATTTATGGTGAACTAAAATATACGAACTCCGTGCTCGTGAATCGTCTCTGGTGAGTGTAATGAGACAATGCTAACGATGTAAACTAATATAGGATCTTGTATGTGAAGAACGATGACTCTATCAGCTACTTTGATATTCTTTTATTTTCTGTATGTTGTGCCCCTTTCTTGTCTGAATTATGTTCATCTGCTTACTAGACAACACCCACTTCTGAGAAAATAAGTAAAATAAAGCTTGTGTTTCTTCTTTCATCTTTGTATTGGGCTTTAATGATTGTGCTTGTACTTCATGGTGGTTGTCCAGCTGTGCTCGATATGTTATTAAGCGGGAAAAACTGGCATAATTCTTAATTCACTCTTCAACCTCCTTGGCATAATTCTGACTATGTGATTGCATGCAAATTATTAAAATGATATTAAGCGGGAAAACTGAACCAGTTACATAACGGTTTTGTCTCTTCTTAGTTCTATATTGATATTTACGTTGTACACTTATTTATCAGAATAGAGGCTTGATTGGATAATTCAGCCTTCCTTATTATTTACTTATCTTTAGCTGCTTTTATGTTTTTATAGCTCTTACTAACTGGATTAACTGAAATTGCAGCAAGTGGTTTCTGGAGAAGTTAGGCCATCAAGGTATTTTTGTTCGATATTGTTCTTGTGTTGAGCAATCACTGTTAAAAGCTCATTGTACTTGCCTCCAACTTTATTATTTTAAAGTAGTTTATGCTATATTCTTTTTTTAGGTTTGAACAATTTACTGATGGCATATGAGGATAAATCGGCTTATGCTCTCTGTGTATTCTCTCTTGCTCTCGGGCCAAATGCAGATCCAATTACGTTTTTGGGGAAAACTCCAGTGAGTTCTTTAGTTTCCAGGAATACAAAGTTGCTTTTATGCTTTATATTCCAGCAAAATAGATGTACTGGCCTGATCTTCTATTACTCGTTGTTTTCTGAGTCGAGTTATGTGATTTAAGTGAACAAGAGAAGAAAAAAACACTAAAATAGACAAAAGTAGAATGGTGAGGAAAAAAGAAAAGGAGAAGAACACAAAAAATTCGGAGGGTAACAAAGCAATGATATAGTAATCTGTGAATATAGCAGAAGTGCCCTGCACCTACAGTTTAAATTGCTCTCTGTCTGAACTCTATTCCAGTACAATATTAACATTTGAAATTACAAGCAAGTGAAATAAAATTTGGCAATGTGGTGAGAGAGGTAGATGTGTGCGTTGGTTCCCCGAGGTACCGACTATCCATGTATTTAGGCAGATAAAGCTAACTGAAAAACAAGTGAAGACTTTGACGTCCTTATGCAAACAAAATAAAAGTGCTCCTCTTCCTTAGTCTTTTCAAAATTGATGAACATGATAATCTATGAGTTGCACTCTGCTAATGTTTGAATTTTATTGCTCAAAATAACAATTATTGTTAGTATTGATTCTGAAAAGTTCTAATGCTAAGGTTTAGCTTAAGTCGAAACAAGTAAAAGTGTACATCATTACTAAAATTAAATAAAGATATAATATATTTTTACATCCATCTTTGAGGATATTTCATTCTTCATCATGTTTCACACTGACTGCAGTATCTACTTTCGTATCATATCCATAAGGATATTTCATACTTTAGCATGTTTCATACTGAGCTCAGTGTTTAGTTTGGTATCATATCAGTAAATACGAGCAAGCAATCTTTCACTAACTGAACTTAGTCAAGTCATCAGTTTCATTAGATACATATTAGTATATTGTGGTGAATTCAAGCAGCAAATGTAACTTCAAGTGAACACATAACATGAACAAAATATATTTAAAGAATGTTTCAGTGAAAGATTTTTTTGAAACGCAACTCTAGAATCTTTTGCCTACAGTAAAGATAAACCTATTTTTTGCTGAACTTATTCCGGTGCTTCTGTGTTGCCACATTTAAATAAACCAACAATACTTCATATATTGTATATAACATATATTGCTATAGTCGGCTTTTTTCAGTGGCTTTAGTTGACAGCCTCTGATGTGGCCTCACTACTACTGGAGATGGCTACGTACTATACTTGTAATTCTTGTGTTCTCTTAGCTACTTTAGATATATCACCCACCTTCTATTTGTAAATGTGATGAGTTCATTGGAAAATTTCCATGTTCTTTTAGCAGAACTTCGAAAATTAAGTTTTGCTTGTCTAATCTGACCCTTGTAATACAATTGACAAAATTTATGTGCCATAAGGAGTAGGCGAGCGTATATTAGATATGCAATCGAACTCTAGCTCAAGGTTTCAAATTTTTTGATGTAATTGCATTGAAGCTTATGCTGCTTAAAGTTCAATCTAGCTTAAGGTTATTTTGACCATGTGGAATCATTTCTTCAGCATCTCTGAATTGTCATCTGTACACTTTTGTGTTCCTAGTAATCAAGGGAACTTTCATTGACGATTCGTGAGAGGTAATTAACCAGTTCAGCTTTTGTATGTCAGTGGTAATTAACCAGTTCAGCTTGACCCATACTGCTCTTATACAATGTTGATGTATCAACGAGCTGCATCCTAATAAACGTTCTTTTGAATTTCAAATTAGCTTATAAGTTCTTTTGGAGTGTGTCCACAATTATGTTTGTTGCGTCTTGCTGGATTATTACATAAACTGATTAGCACTGACATAAACTTGTGGCTGAAATTGCAGGGTAAAATAGTTCTTCCTAGGGGACCAAATGATTTTGGATGGGATCCAATTTTTCAACCTGATGGGTATGATCAGACGTAAGTTAATCTTCCTGCTCCCTAGTCTGCATTAATTTTGTTATTTATGTTACATAAAAACTAGCCAACTAACTTGCCATAAAAGCTACCCAACTAACTGAATTACGTCTGTCTATAGTTATGCTGAAATGGCCAAGGAAGAGAAGAACACGATTTCTCACCGTTATAGGGCTCTCGCACAGGTGAAATCGCACTTTGCCGAGGCTAAATATACTTTCCAATCAGAACCTTGAGTTTGTCAAGATGGTAAGGTAAGGTACTCTTGAAAAGCACTGGTAACTATTTTTGTTGGAGATTGATTTAATTTGGATAAAGCCATCAATGAACTTGATTGTCGAATTTATGATTGACAAAACCCAAAAAACCGTTAGAATGTGCTGAAATATCAGTACATCTAACTAGTCCCAGTTATTAAATCATTGCGGGAGCAGATGGATTCTCGAGTAGTACCTTCTATTTTCTTTTATTGTTCTCTTTCTCAAGTATTAAAATCTATTTTGAATAAGCACTCATTTATTTCTGTGCTCAGGCCAAAATTTAAGTTGAATTGACTTTTTCTGTGAATGCGATACATTATCAGTGGGCTTTACAAAGCCGTACATAGTTAATGAAAATAGTATATGTGGAACCCCTTTTTGCTGGAAATTTTCCACTAGTCGTATTCAAGGGAGTATAGCTGAATTTATCTATTTTCCCTTTATTAATTGACTCTTGCTTGACCTCAATGTGAATCGGCGATTTGAATAGTCCAATTTGAAAAAAAATAAAAAATAAAATCATCCAAATTGACCCGTGAGTTCCGACCTGTGAATCGAGGGGTCTCGACCTTAACCGTCATGCCTTAGAAAAAGTACACGTATTTGAAAACAAATCCGAGCTTTTGATAATACATGTATCTAACAATGCTGATGAGATGATCCATTGTGAAAAGGCTGAAATAATTGCAAAGAAAAGTGAATGTGGCTCGGGTTGTATTGAATGTGACAGACAATATGCACATTAAACATATAACATGGGCTATGCATGTGAGCATAGTTTTGTGAATTAAATGAGAATTGGCCCCAAAATGTGCAGACGTAAGGAATTTATTTGTTTGACTCACTAAACCATATGGGCCCGAAATCACGTGCTAAGTTAGTGGTTTTATCAACCTTTCCACGTGACTTGGAGTTTGGGAACTCGAACAAATCTTTCGATTTCATATGGTATGAATTGTGAGTTTAGGTACACACCATCTTCATTTAGGCTCTTACATGTGATTAGTTATACTTCTAAGGATAATATTTATGGTTCTTGTTTTGTCTATGTCAACAACAGTGCCTTTAGTTTTTCTATGGCTGGATGGAATTAGCTTAAACATTTTAGGGTCGCAATTAGGTGTGAAGTTAGAACGACCAATCCCGTTAGTTTGGATTTATATTTTAAGAATTACGATAATTCACGTCCTTCAGAGCTTACGGGTGGGAGAAAAGAAAGGAAGAATATAAGAGCATCCGATGTGAAACTCGAGCCTTGCTTATTATGGATGCAATTAGATGGTAAAAGTCTATACTTATGAAAAGAACTTGGGTAGTTCAAAAGATTCGAAATATATTTCAAGCTGGTAGAATGCCGTTTTCTCCACAGGATTATATATAGTAGAGAGTAATGATTAAGGTTAATGCAACAAGTCTTTGTATTACTTAATCAGGCTAACTTGCTGTAATAATCACACAGAGGAGATAATACTGTCTGATAATCATACATAAGTTATAAACACAATTCATCATTCAAACAAACCAATACAGATTGCTTACATTGACAGAGACGAGGCAAAAAAGTAGTAGTAAAAGATAGCCTTACTACTATGCATCATCTATTACACTCTCTTTTTTGCTTCGTTTTTTTACACGAGTTTTTTGACATTCACAATTTCATACTATACGTTGTATGACGGAGAATAAGAAGGTCGAAAGGAAATAGGATATAATTTAGCTTCTATAGAGAACAAATGCCCAAACACATTTTGTGGAGGACTGATAGCAGACAAATATATATAGATATAAAATGTGTTAGAAAATTCAAGAGGCAGAGGAAACCTTGGCACTGCCAGGAGCGAAGAAAAAACGATCGGACAACGAGGAGGAGCAAATGAAGAATGTTTGACATGTGTAAAAAATGTACACTTGCCAATGTGAATGAAGTTTTCCAAGTAGGTTTTTTTTGTAGGCAAATGAAGGTAAAGAAAAGACTCATTCTAGATATTTTATGTAATAGGGGATAAGAGATTGCCGCTAGCACTGGCGGCCCCGACGGCAGCCAAGTGCACCGGCACCAGAAGTAATAGAAGCAACCATGGAAGAAGATTTAGCACCCAAGCTGGAAGCTCTAGCGTAGCTTCCGGAAGCTCCGGCTCCAGACGGGATAAAATACGCACCGTTGAGCATCAAATCGCCCTCCGTTCTCCAGTTCCACCCCTTCCATCTGCTTTCTGCCGTTTCGACCCTCTTTGTCACCTGATTCCACAATTAACATTTTTTGCATCTCGTTTACTTTTAATTAATTATCCACCCGAAAATTAGATTTAACGTTTAGTATTAGTACCTCCTTTGCAAAAGGATTGACCGGCGCGAGGTATCTGTTTCCTTGGCTGTTGATTGTGGGCTCCGCGCTCCCTCCTATCGCGTACATCTCCCAGTGCGTGTAGTCGTTGTTCACCACGTGGAAGTATCCGTGTCTGCACCTGTTAAAAGCATTGAAGTTCGTTTTCTTTTTATCTATCCGAATTCAAGAAAATTAAGTGGAAAAAAAAATCAACTGTGTATGTGTGTATACCTCGGCATTCTTTGAATGAGACCCTCCCCGAAATGATTGTAAGCGATAGTCGCCTGCATTTGCTTGTCCCTCATGTAAGAATCACTGTGCCCCAACAATATAACCTCGTTGTGGTGCGTGAAGTAGTTGTTCGAAATCGTGATAGCGGTGGAACCCATCACAGCATCCACAAGCCCGTCGGCGCAATTGGACATCGAGTTATGGTCAACCCAAATATGACTCGACCCAAAAATTGAGACGGCGTCACCGTCCGCCATAGTCCTCCACCCGTAGTGCGACGGGGAGCTTCTCACCATAGCATTCCCCGTGGGCCTACAGTCGTGTATGTGGAGCCCATGTATGATGACATTTGTGATGAATTGGATTGTTATACACGCCCCGTTGGCAATGTGGACATTGGCCCCACGAGCGTCGATTGTCTTGAAGCTATTCATTATGAGTTCTTGCTTCAGTGTGATGACCATGTCACGCTGGAAGACGATCCAAAGGGGCTCGTCCTGGATGACCGCGTAGCGGAGGGTGCCCGGCTTGGGGGTTACGGGGTCGTCGTTGCCAGAATCGGTGACGACGTAGAACCGGCCGTCCCTGCCGCCAATAGCGTTGCGGCCGAAGCCAATGCCGCAGTCGGCCAAGCGCTTGCGGTTCTTGTGCCAGTTGGGGTCGCAACGCCAGCAGTCGTCTATAGGGTTGCCGGTCCCGCACGAGAAGTAGCCGAGTCTTCGCCTCCTGTCGGTGCTGTTTCTCGTGGCCCTACGCATATTTAAGAAAGATTACATTTCTAATTATGTGTCGGTGAAGATACATACATAGACTAATAGTAATATATTCGAATGAAAGATTGATGTGGACAAACTTTTGGCTTTGTTTGAGGGGCACACACACATGGGTGATGATGCTGTCACGGGGGCGAAAAGAAATAAAAATAAAGATAGGATTTGCTATTTTATTACATATATCAATAATATTCTTCGTACATGATACTTTTGTGTTCATCACAATTCACATCACCAATTAATTCTATCACATTTCTAACCATATGTACAATTTAGATTCTCACATTTCTTGACAAAGAAATGATGTAATAAAAGAACCAGAGTAATATTTGACAGCAGAAGAATCCCAGTGCTGTAATAATATGCATGGAATGGAATATAAATAAAGCCTTCTTGATTTATTCAAGAAATAATTAAATTTCGCAAATAGATGCGAGTAAACAGAAATAAATAAATATAGCATGTGAGTAGGGTCTGCTACAAAACTATAGTGGTGTAACATTTAATTATAAAACATAAAATAGAAAAAAAAAAACAGAAGAAAGAACAAGTCTAACAGCAACTGCTACCCAACCGCATTGTGTGTCAGTTACTCACACACTTAAATGCACAACAAATATATATAAATAAATATTATTATTATCATTTTTTTTATTATTATTAATAATAGAGGTAAAAAAAAAGAAAAAAAAAAAAGATGAGAAAAAAGAGTACTCACATTTCGACCATTCTTACAACCTCTTCAGGGTCATCAACTGCATGTTCATTCAAAACATCCTCCTCAATTCCTTCTAATCTGAGAGTAAAATACAAATAAATATCCCGTCAATTCAAATTTATTACGAAACTGCCACTGTTTCAGTATTTATGTATGTTTACAAGAACTTGTTCTAGTGATCCATGGAAATTTTTTCTTGACCAGGAATTTACCATTTAGGACAGACCCAAACAAACTATATATGGCTGGGTTTTGCAGAGACCTTATTTGGGTTTAAAGTAAAAAGGGGTGAGAAAATGAAGGTGATTTCAGTAATTTCACATGGGGTGTCACGTGTCAGTGGCTACCGACAATTTTTTTTCGAGTTTTTATTTTTTTATTTTTCGGTTCACTGTGTTGTGTTGCACACACTTCACACTCAGTGGCCGGCAGATGCATACAATATATACATACAAATCCCACTAGGGAGAGAGAGAGAGAGAGAGAGAGAGAGAGAGAGAGAGAGAGAGATTGTAATGTATAAGGAATTAGGTGAAACCGAGTAGACTCACTTTTCCGCCATTGTCGAGTTTGGAGAGTTCTGCAACTCCTCTTTTTCAAAATCTCTGAGAAAAACAGGACAAAATTATGATTAATAAAATTTGCTATATATATATATAAATTGAAGAAGTATTTAAAAAAGAAAACCTTAAATTCAGGGTTTCGTCTCCGTGAACAGTAGACAGAGCTCCGACGACGAGCACGAAGAGCAGCAAAGTAAACAGAGGCAACCATTTCTTCGACGGCCACACAATTGATATTCCCATACTGTTTCTCTCTCTAGTTTCTCTCTCTATATGACTATATGTATATTGACGCGGAATAATCACTCATACGTAAGTGAACGTGTATGTAATGTATGTATGTATAGCCTGTAAAAATGGAGATCATGAACCGAAGGATTTTAGAGAGAGAAGGAGCTCTTAGTTAGAGAGAGAAACCAAAAGCTACGACCACCGTAACGGTCTCTGCTCCTTTTATAGACTTGCGATACTCGGGAAACGTTAAACTTAACGTCCGTTAGTTAACTGCCGATGCCACTAATTACCGGTTAACCGTATTCATAATCAATTAATCCCATCCCTTTTAACTAGGCTTAGTTTGGGTGGGTTTTTTGGTAATTTTCAACGTGCTCTAACTTTTAGCACAATTTATCTTTTAATTTTGACTTAATTTTCTTATTCTCTCGTATTTTGGTACCAAATATGTATCTAATATTTTTTACATCAAAATATATTTTCAATTTCCCACATTTTCTGGGGTGGGTTTGGATATAGGAAATAAAGGAGGAATTATGGGAATTCATACTCGTGCCTAGAGTGTAGTTTAAGATATTTATTTTAACCAGCCAAACACACCGCCAAAAATTAGGGCTTCCTGCTAAGGTATACAGATTTTTTTTTGGCTAGTACTTGGATATAAATTATAAATTTTTGTAGAATTTAAATTTTTCTAATTTGTAATAAATTTTTAAATAATTTTCTTATGTTATTCAATATTTGTTTATACGGTTAGTAACAACTTTTTTTTTTCTAATAAGTATGAGAATAAATTATGTATGAAATTTTGAATTAATTAAATAACTCAACAAATAAACAAAAAAAAAAAAATTGTTTATATCCGTTTATTTATGACCTTCATGATTTTACTTATGCTTGGTTTTGAATCAAGAGGTAACGAAAATTTTCATTATTAGAATTGATTGCTATATAGCATCAAATACAAGTGCAGGCCCACTATAACATACCATTGTAATTTATTTTGAATTTTGCCAAGGAAAATAATTTTGTTTCTAATGTATTTGCATGCAATGAAATCATCACAATAATCGGGAAAAAAATGTTATTTTCATCTGAGACGTCTATTTTTAGGCCAAGTTATTTAATTAAGCTGTCCATTTTCAGTTTAAACTGTCTATTTTTAAGTCTACACTCTTCAACGAATTTGTCTATTTTGAATCTAGGTTATTCAACTAAACTACCTGATAAATTTTAATTTTAATAAATTTTAAATATCCATACGAAATTTAACTGTACAAAATATTTTTGAGGGAGTATTAGCAACTTTTCGATCGAGTTTTAGTAAATATTGCACGTTTTACAGGGCACTATCATGGAACATAGATAGTGTTTCCCATCATCACTAGATCTAAGATGTCATGCTTGTTAAATCAAACTACCTTTTGCCATGTTTTATTTTTAGGAAAGTGAATTAATTACACAACATTAAGTATGTTATAACACCATTCCTTAATTAACACGATCTCTCTATGAATAGATTTTTTTAAGAACTATTTGCTGCGAAAAAAATCTGTCTATTTTCTTTAGAAATAATATTGAAACATATTATTAAGATATATTATTGAAAATGTTAGATTTTGTAGGCCAAGATTAATGTTACCAAAAATTTGGCAAGTCTAATCCCCCCCATAATGAACCTTTTTCGCAACTTCTTTTCTCAATATAAATGTTATTTAGGTTATTATTATTATTGTTTTGGTAATCAAGGAATACACAACGAACCATATAGGTGCAGTAGGTAAACCTACACTCTCGTATAATAGCATGCAAACCATACGAGAGACGTAAACAACACTACGCTAAGTTCGACCTTTCGACTCTTTGAAAGATGATTCGAACTTGGATCGATTGACACAAACTCACTTGATCCAACCGCTAGATCATCCGATCCCTTACGGGACGTCATCCTTCAATTATAACTAACTAGTTGTGAAATTACAAAGAAATTTTAAATATAATTGTATAAAAAAATTAAATTACACAACATGAAAATAATTAATTGTGAAATTAAAATTTTCCAAAATGACATTAAAAAAAGTTAAATTAGGCAGGGCAAAACCAAAAAAAAAAAAAAAAAACAAACCAACCATATTTAGAGAGATTTTGCTTTACTTTTCTGATAAATGAGATTTACAAAGAAATATACACACATATATTAATGAACATCAATTTCCGTTTTGTGGAGACAAAAATCCCACATATCCATCTCTTATTTATTTTTATTTTTTTGTTATATTTATAAGTGAGGCCATATAATTCTCTAGATATAATTAAGATAAGATTAATGCAATTAATTGAAAATTTGCTTTTTTTTTTGGAAGTAAAAACTAGTGCCCTACTTTGACCACCACCTTGTCCCCTACCATATTACATGGAGCACATGGAGTTTAATTTCATCCAGCCATTTTTCTTAATTCCACCTACAATTAATTGCTCAACAAATTCAATCAAAAATTCATTTTTTTCCTAATCACATACTTAAGTTTTTAATTTTTGATTTAATACCACAATTAGGCATTGCATGTGTGCAACCACCATGTGCTAAGTGGAACCATATTGGTCATCATCCATCACATCATTTTGCTCACCATTTCTTGAATCCTTGTCAATGTTGATCCATATTTAAATTATTCCAATTTTATTTTTATTTTTATTTTTTTAATTTAATTTCTTCCCTTCTTGTAAATATGTACATGTAGGAGTCGAACATAAATAATTATTTTTTTCAAATAATACTTTCAGTCTATTCGTATTTCTTTGCAGACAGAATTATTCAAAATTATATTGGGTAAATTACAACCGTCCCCTAAGGTAAGATCTATTTATGAAACACCCCCTCATTTTTCATAAGTAAATCCATCCACTGCAAGTTGTAGATTTCTTACATTAAAACCCTTTTATCTGGGTTGATGTAAGACATTTACAAACTGCAAGGGGTTGAATGTAATTTTTAAAACATAAGGGCCTTTTTCGTAAATAGAATTTATCACAGGGAGGTGGTTGTAATTTACTCTGATTTCATATTTATAGAATTTTTCTTATATTTAAAATCCTTACATAATTAATTCTATGATGACAATAAATGCATGAAAATAACAAGCGTACGTCTTATCCAATATCAATACATGTTGTCTTCCATGAGGGCTATTAGTGGGCCAATTATGTTAAGAAATACAGCACATATTAATTATTTCACAAAAATATTTTAATCATTCTACCAAAATTCAAGCCTAAGATATGGAAGATTTAACTCATATTGTGTGCAATTCAAATCAAATAAACTCGAGGGAAAGGGGTTTATTTGCTGCTGCACCTAGTGAAATATATCAGATGATTTTTGACCGTTAATCTGCACATAATTACGTAGATATATGTTTATATGTGCTTAGCGCGGGTGATTATGTGTAAATGATCAGGTGTAACAACTAATAAAGAATTAGAGAAATTTATTTTCAAAATTAATATTTATTTTTTTATGGAATACTTATTTGATAACTGATTACATAAATACATTTAAAAAAAGGATTACTAGGCAAACATCAAATTTTGAAGGTGGAAATTAAAATGAAAAATTAAATCATATTTGACCTAAATGCATTTTCATCACTAAAGAATAAAGATGTTTAGCTAAAGCATCTTCAAGAGCCAATTGAATGTTTACAGATGTCCAGGAGAAAGCCAGGTGCTGACTGCTCCACACCAGGAATAAAAAAATAGTAATCATAAACTCATTGACCTAAATTCGTTGTATTTTCTTTTCTTTATCTTTTATAAATTATTATTATTATTATTATTATTATTATTATTATTATTATTATTATATTGCTTTAGACGGGAAATTAGATGCTACACCTGATTATTTATACTAACTGAACTTACATACACAACCATGTATATGCGTGCTTAGTAAATACTGAATAGTTATTTAATAAAATCTACGGTTCAAATTAACCTGGTGTAAATAACCATGTAATTTCCCGTCTATCTAATTAATTTAATTTGAAAAAAAAAAATGTTTTTATATATTTAAAATTTGAACGCTTAAAGAAATTTTTAGCACTTGGGCCTATATCTAAACCTTGAGTGAAGGGGTAAATATGTCAAACATATTGGAATTTATTGGGTTAAAAAGACACTGTATTTTATCGTGGGCCTCCAATTAAGCCCGTAACATCAAATGAATAACTGTATCCAATTATATTGGGCCCAGCTGCTATTTTTTGGTTCGTCCTATAACCCAACTTGTAGCCCAAAACAAAATTAATTGAAAAAGAATTACTTAATTTAAAATGATATTCGATCAATATTACATAAATTCATGAACTAAAGAAGAAGAAGAAAAGCTAAAACTATGGTGAAAATGAAGATTGGCGTTTTCATTAGTTCTCGTACGAATTGCGCAAAACTCACGTGAAAGTCGTAGTCATTTGAGCTAGCTTTTTAATGCCACTTGAATCAGGCCAATCTCAAATTGTATGACTGAGTTGTGATAAAAACTGCGGGCACTACCAAAATTGTTATATGATTAATTTTTTTCGAAGCTGATTTTTCTTTCTAATATATATTTTTCGCCAATATTCAGCCATTTATGTATAGAAATACGAAGAAAAATAAAACCGCGTAAAATCGATAAAAACGATTATAAAAAGACAAACAAGAATCAAAGTTAAAGAAAAATGAAATAAAAACGACTATAAGAAGACAAACAAGAATCAAAGTTAAAAGAAATATGAAATAAAGTACAAACAGTGTACAACTTAATCCCACTTCGCACCCTTGAAATGAAACTTTTTGCCACTTTGCACCCTTAAAAAATTAACAATAGCACTTTCACCCTCAAAATACAATAAATCATTCACAATGCACTATCAAGAATTCGAATGCATGCGGCTACAAATGGAACCACTTCTCTATCAATATCAAGTCGATATTGTATTTTCCGGTCACGTAAGTCGATCTATATATATATATATATATATATATATATATATATATATATATATATCATATTCGATGCCTCTTTACATACTTACAGCCATTTTTGCAGGTGCACGCGTACGAGAGGATGAATAGAGTGTATAACTACACGTTAGATTCGTGCGGACCTATATATATAACGATTGGAGATGGCGGTAATATCGAGAAAGTGGATGTTGATTATGCAGACGAAATAGGAAAATGCCCTTCGATCGGTGATAATGTACCCGAGATTGGAAGTGTGTGTCGTACGAATTTCTCGTCGGGACCCGCAAAAGGGAATTTTTGTTGGGATAGACAACCGGAGTGGAGTGCCTATCGAGAAAGCAGCTTTGGACATGGTATACTCGAGGTAATATATATACATACATAGTGGTCTTATTTGATTTATTTCTCGAATTTGTCCTAATTTTTTGACGGAAATCGGTACTTTTTTTTTTCCCGGAGGTTGTGAATTCGACACATGCATTATGGACATGGCATAGGAATCAGGATATTTACCAAGAACATAGTTACGGCGATCGAATTTACGTTGTTCGCCAACCTAATTTATGCACACACTAATTATATTTAGAAAGTTTACGATATACTAAAATTGAATATTCTTGATTTGTTTATATATATTGGATTTGCAGAATTATTTTCAATCTGTAAAAATAGCTACCCTACTTGATTGAAAAAACATCAATATGGTTAATGTATTTGGGTTGACTCGGTCCCGTTTCACAACTCAGAACGAGTGCAGAAACTCTGTAGCATATCTCTACCTTTCCACTTCTACATCACACATTCTACCTATAAAGATAAGTAGGGTATATACCATTTTGCATCACTCAAAATTAAATCTTATTTTCTCTCTCCAAACGAGTTCAGAAAGCCCGTTGGTAAGCACCTTGTACTTAGAACTATTTGGTAGGGGTGAACATAAACCCGCCAAACCCGACCCGCCCGCCCGACCCGAGCCGATCCGCCCGCTACCCGCCAGTTTTGCATATTAAAATATTGCTGGCAGTTTGGTATTATGGTAACCCGCATGGTGTGGGTCGGGTTTCGGGTTTGACAATTAAAACCCGTGGCCCGCCCGACCCGCCCGCATCAATCATCATATATTTATATTAAATAACATGTAAATCTATGTTTTAGTGTTCAGCTACCCCTTCTTCCCCCATTTCTCATCCGATTCGTAATACACCAGGAATAAAACACAGAGAAACGGGATAACCAAATGTACCCAAAAATAAATTCTTGAATCTTTCAAGATTAATTGGAGAAAGGATACGCCTTTGAATTAGGTTTTTGTAATGTAGGATTTGTTCCACCAAAACGGATTGATAGGGAATGAATGTTTTTTTTTTTTTTTTGAAGAATTGCAGTCTCCAAGGAATGTTTTCATGAGATTTCTTAAATTTTGTCAATGCATTTGTTGGTATTGCGTATTTTTTCGACCCGCTAACCCGCCCGCCACCCGCCCGTAACCCGCTACACCCGAACCGTGCGGTTTGTGATTTTAAATAAGCAGATGCGGTTGGCAAAATTGGTAACCCGCCGGCGTCGTGTTGGGTTGATTTTTTTACGAAAACCCGCCCAAATCCGCCCGCGTTCACCCCTACTATTTGGTCATAGGTTTGCGATACAAAAAAATTCCTCCCTTTAGAAAAAAAAATTAAAAAATCCCGAGTTCGAAATTCATTATAAAACTAATAATCCGAACAAAATTAATTTGTTATTACAAATTTGAAATTCTGAACATCAAATTCTTCAATCCAAATAAAGCAAATTTCACATCCTCTAATACGAGTAACTTTTCTTGATGTCGTCTAAATTCGCAGTATATTCCGGATGTACCATTCTACAAGATCGTCGTTAGTTATCTCCGACATGAATATTAAAATATTAAAATAAAAAAAAAAAACCAGCCAAATAATACCCCACAAATTTGGTTGGGAATTCAATAACCATAAAAGCTCTGCAGGTAATCAAGCTGGAATTTTTTTTCATAAAGTCTTCTCGAAGTCAACTCAGAAGACTAGGATTAGCCTTTTTATTTATTTATTTTATTTATTTTTTATTTTTTATTTTTGAGGTACACTTGTCATAAACCATACATTTTTCTTGTCCTAAATCAAGATTTGTTTTTTGCCTGTTGGAATTTTGTCAGCAGACCAATCAGCATTATGAGCTTAAATGGAGAAATAATTTCGGTTAACCAAATGCTCGAGGAATTATCCGATAATGCTTCCTCGAACTCTAGTCTCTGCAGAGTCGGCGAGCAGATACGAACCACAAACGAGTCATCGTACGATCCAACGGTCATCGCCATAGGCCCGTTCCACCGCGGCAAAGCCCACCTTAAAGCCATGGACCATCACAAAAAGAGGTACCTCAAGCTAATCCTCCAATCAAGAGGAGAGTCGAGTGCGGATCGATACGTAAACTCCATGCTCGAATCGGAAGAAGAAGCACGCAAATTTTACGCAGAGGAAACGGCCGTACTAGGAAAGTACGCTTTCGCCCTTATGCTGCTCCTCGACGGAATCTTCATCCTGGAATTCCTGCGCGAATGCACTTTCGGTTCGAATCTCGTTTTCCAATTAGGGCAGATGAAGAGCCATATTCTCCGTGATTTAATGTTGTTTGAGAATCAAATCCCGTTATTTATACTCGAAAAGCTACTATCTATGACGGACGATGCTTTTCAAATTACTCATTTGATATATCCTTTAATATCACCGATTATCGTGCATCAAGAAGCAATATCGTTACAAGATGATCATACTAAACCACACCACCTCCTAGGGTTAGTACACTACGCCGAGCGACTAGGGTTTTCTCCGACAGTTCCCGACGAGCACTACGTAATGGAGAACATAAACTCCGCGACGGAGTTGAGTGAAGCCGGCATTTCATTCAAGAAGTCCGATAGTAAAAATTTGTTGGACATTATATTCAAGAACAAGAAGATCCGCATGCCCACGTTGGAAATTACGGATCTAACCGAGTCTCGAATTAGAAATATGATCGCCTACGAGTATTACAATCTTGCGTGCGACGAACGGAAATACGTGACGGATTATACGTTCTTCTTGCATTGTTTAATACACGCGCCGAAGGATGCGGAGTTGTTGAGGAGATACGGGGTCGTGAGTAATTGGTTGGGTGGCGATGAAATGGTGTACCGTTTGATAAATCAAATAGGGAGTCACGTGCAAACTTCGGAGAAGTTTTCGTACCATGATGTTTTTCGTGATGTGAATGTTCATTGTAGGAATAGGAAGAATCGGTGGATCGCGGTTTTGAGGCGGGATTACTTTAATACCCCTTGGAAACTCATTTCTTTGGTTGCCGGCTTTGTGTTGCTTGGAGTTGGTGTTGTGCAAATGGTGTTTGCGATTCTTTCATACTGTAAGTTCGATAAACGTTTTGTTTTTTTTTTCAATGTTTTATTCGTTTGTTGTTCGTTATCGATTTTGATTTTTTGCGGTTTTTTACAATCTTGATTTTGCAGATCAAGATAAGTGAAACTGCAGATGGTTTTTTTGTGCATGAAAAGCTACATGAAGGAAATGGCGAAGGGCTATATGATCTACATCGGTTGCAAATTTTTTTTTTTGTTTCGTGTTTGTGAGGAATAAATAAAGACTTATGTGCGGTTTTCGATATATTTTGAAGACGTGATATCTCAAGGTTTACGAGATTTAGTCTTCTTGCTCCGTTTATTAGAAGATTTTATTCCGAAATTGATACTTTTTAGTTTGTAATGTGAACCAATTTTAATTGTATTGTTTTTAGTTTTTTTTTTCTTTTTTGCCCGCATGGGTGTAGCTCAACTAGTTCCGGAGGTGGTAAGTTGGTGCAAGGTCCTAGGATCGAATCCTGGCAGCCGCAATGTGGGAATTTCAACTCCAATGAGGGTTGGTTCCTTGTGGGCACCAGGTCCGGGTCCGCTACCTTAACTGGCCATTGAGTTACCATGATTTATATTTTGGTTCCTTGTGGGCACCAGGTCCGGGTCCGCTACCTTAACAGACCGTTGAGTTACCATGATTACATTCTTCCATCAAATACTTGTCGAGCCAAGGGATGGGAGAAATTTCGCCTTTTTTGGTGCAACTATGTATTGTTTTATACGTCTACTCATATTACTTATTGAACGAGTATTTTTTTCATAAAACAATACATAGTTAAGTGACTGATTGTAATTATCAAAATAAAATGATTTTTTTTTCGTAATTCCTTATTTCACCAAAAGGTGGCCGTAATTTACTCGAAAATGTAAGTAAATTTGCTAATAAAAATAATATGGATTGTATTTTAAAAAAAATATTCAACAAAAAACACAGGGTAGCTACAAGAAAAACAAAATGGAGTGATTGAACCGAAATAGGGTAGCATGCAAGAATGAATTATATGAATTGGGATTAAGTAAAAATCATTAGAAATTGATTTTTCTTTTTTTTTTGATAAATCATTAGAAATTGATTTATGGGCATCATCAATTCTATCCACAAGCGTGGCGTGGCACGCATATTTAGACATTTCCACCGCTATTCCGCCCATGCTCTTTTCAATCGCGTTTTGTATACTCTATTTTCACATTTTATTTTTTTAATTACAACTACCTCCCATTACATTAGCTCTAACTACAATCAGGTCCTCTTTGTTTCAAAATAGTACGCTTACCTCTCTTTAAGTTTGATATTAGTTGACACTAGACCCCATTTGACACCCTAAAATTGTATTTCAACATTAACCACATATTGAGTAAATTACAACGTCCTCCCAAATCTATCAATAATAATAATAATCCTTCATAAAATATTTTTACTTGTCATTTCATTTATTGAAATTAAAATTAAATATCATCTCTAATTCTTTTTAAAAGTGTGATAACTTAACATATGTTTATTATACATAGCTCAATAAGTAAATAACAAATTATATAAAAAAAAAATCACAACCATTTGTTTGTAGTCAACTATCTTTTCCTTCAGAATAGTTCAAATATTCAAAGTTGAAGTGGGGATCTTTTTGCAAAGACCAAAATCTTAGGGGCCATTAATGCTAATTGTGTAAACCATGAGGATCTAAATGCAAATACCACCATAAAAGGTGGATAGATATATAATTTTCTTACATACATGTGCCGGTGGCAGTCTAGAAACTCTCATCTTTATCACATTTCCCAATAGAAAGTAGGCATACAAGAACTATATATATATATACAAGCTTCATCCGATCAAAATCGATACAGTTTTCATTTTTGCAGATATATACATACATACACACGTACGTTTAATTTTTTTAGAGAGAGAAAGAGAGAAAAAAAAGAGGATGGAGAAAGCAGTTGAAAGGCAGAGAGTTTTGCTGCAACACCTTCGTCCTTCCTTCACTTCGTCGTCGCTTGAGGATATTGAATCTTCACTTTCCGTTAGTTTTCTCGCATCTTTTGAATTCCGATTTTTTTTTCCTGTCAAAATTATTTGTTCAATTGTTATTTTTTGGGGAGATTTTGAATCGCGTAGCTGAATTTCGTATCAATTCGACGGGATCGAGGTTTTGAAAATCGCGGATTCATGTTATCTGAATTGGATCGACTATCCGGCGTGATTGAATATTTTGTTTGATTGAAGTTTCGATTTGTTATTTAGAAATTGAAGTGAATAATTCGAATTAGAGAAATATCGATTGTGTTTTGGATAAGGTTTACATCGTCCGATTACACTCTGATTCGATTTTGTGGATGTAAAATTAGATTTTGAAACTATGCTCCTGCATGGGTAAATTAGTAAATAATGGTCTTCGATCGGGGTAAAATTTCATCTTTGATCAGTTCAGTACGTAACATGGGGGTAATCAAGAAGGGAATCCCCATTTTGTAAAGAATTAAGCACATGAGTTTAACATAAAGACTTTGTGATGACTGACACGGATAAAATAGAATATTCACCGTATCACTGATCCTATGTGATAATTCTAAATTTTTTCCTTGTATATGTATGTAATTTAGAAAGTATATTCTAAGTTTTATGCATTTTCACAGTGCTGATGGAGACAAAGCATATTATTGTGTTGCGCTTGTTGTTAAATTGATATTATCCTCTTGCTATAGTTTGTTTTCGATTTTTTTTATGCAGACAAAATTGCTTTGTCAAAGAATGTGATTCAGGAAGTGGTATTTAAAATTCCCTTCCGTGGAATATACTCAGCTTAGAGCTGCACTTTCTACAAGATTTTCAATGCATATGTGCAAAGTGCCGTAAATGCTTTCTTTAATAGGCACATCATTCTGTCGCAAAAGACAAGCATATGGATTCTTTAATAGGCACATCATTCTGTCGCAAAAGACAAGCATATGCATCCTTTTTCTTAATTGAACTTAATCATTTTTTTTATATTTCAAACAGGCATCTATATGTTCAGCAGGGGATAGTGCAGCATACCATCGATCTTCTGTATTCGGTGATGATGTAGTCATAGTGGCGTAAGTGATCTATATAGTCCCAAAGATGTATTTTAACTTAAGTTCCAAATTGTTTAAGTAAATTTCTTGGTTTCATTAAATATTTCATTGCCTAAAATCTTCTGTTCATTACTTTATGTAGTGCCTATCGAACTGCCTTGTGCAAGTCGAAGAGGGGTGGCTTCAAGGACACTTATCCTGATGATTTGCTAGCACCTGTTTTGAGGGTAGGTTTGTTTTTGCCACTATTATAATCCTTTTGAAGCTTCAAGTTGAGTCCGTAATTTTATTTTATTTTGTGCTACAGGCAGTAATGGAAAAAACAAATGTAAATCCAAGTGAAGTTGGGGACATTGTTGTGGGCACTGTCTTGGCACCGGGCTCCCAGAGAGCAAGTGAATGCAGGATGGCTGCATTCTATGCCGGTTTCCCAGGTAATCTACTGGTTTCATCATTCTTCACTTCCTTCTTTGCTGTAAGAATGTTACTGATATCTATGTAACTGTTTCGAATGCAGAAACTGTACCTGTTAGAACCGTGAATAGGCAGTGCTCTTCCGGTCTTCAAGCAGTAGCTGATGTTGCTGCAGCTATCAAAGCTGGATTTTACGACATTGGTATTACAACTTTGCAACTTTGTTTGTATTTTAGTTTAACACACACGACATACAAGGGGCGGAATCGTTTGCACTTTGATATTTAGGTGATCTGTGCTTAATGTTCATTCTGATTTAGGGATTGGTGCTGGTTTGGAGTCGATGACCGTGAATCCTATGGCTTGGGAAGGATCAGTCAATCCAAGAGTAATCCTCAGATTCAAAATCCAGTTTATATTGAGTTTTTTTCCTGGCAATTGCTGAGTTTTAACACTATTGAACGAATTTCAGGTAAAAACGATGGCACAAGCGCAAGATTGCCTTCTTCCCATGGGTATTACTTCAGAGAATGTTGCCCATCGTTTCGGAGTGACTAGGCAGGAGCAAGATCAGGCTGCTGTAAGTTAAATATGCATTTTCCAAATGGTAGGATCAACGTGACCTTGTCATTGATATTTCCACAACTTCCTTATCAGGTCGATTCGCATAGAAAGGCTGCTGCTGCGACTGCTTCAGGAAAATTTAAAGATGAAATAGTACCAGTGAAAACCAAGGTAAATAATGTTTCTGTTGAGGCATATTCTTTCTTTTGTCTTCACTTAATTGAAACATCTATTATGCTTCCATTTGATTATTGTTGCCTTTCTTGAAAAAGATTGTAGACCCAAAAACTGGGGATGAGAAACCAGTTACAATATCTGTTGATGATGGCATACGGCCAAACAGCTCAGTGGCGGATTTGGGCAAGCTGAAACCCGTTTTCAAGAAAGATGGCTCAACCACTGCTGGTAAATAAAACTTTTGCATCACAATCCTATTTTGGAATCCTATTATCTCATATTCTAACTTTTTCACTTTGGGCATCAGCCAATTCTAGCCAAGTGAGTGATGGTGCTGGAGCTGTTCTACTCATGAAGAGAAGTATCGCCATGCAGAAAGGACTCCCCATCCTCGGTGTATTCAGGTTTGTGAAAATTTGCATTATTAATCTCGAATTTTCAGAAACAAGTATATGGGCCAAATTTTTTTTTTTTTTTTTTTTAAACATAGAAATCTAATAGCAGTCGTGTGAGTAATCTCCGTTTTGCTGCTTGTGCAGGAGCTTTTGTGCTGTTGGTGTAGATCCTGCAATCATGGGTATTGGTCCAGCTGTTGCAATTCCTGCGGCTGTGAAAGCTGCTGGTCTTGAACTTGGGGATATTGATCTTTTTGAGATAAATGAGGTAAAAGTTATTTTTTCCCAACGAAAGAAAAAAATATGAAGTAACTTTGAGTTTTCAAGTGCTGCAAACGTTCTCATTGTGAATGATATCCAGGCATTTGCTTCGCAATTCTTGTACTGCCAGAAGAAGCTTGAACTTGATCCAGCTAAAATCAATGTCAATGGAGGTGCCATGGCAATCGGACATCCTTTGGGTGCAACAGGTACTTCGTTTTAGTATTGGAAATTATATCCTTTAACATTCATTTTAAGCTATTTGTAATCATTGTGACAGATTTAAATTTTAGAATAATTTGAGTTCTTAGAAGCCCTTGGACAGATCCAAGTCCCTTCACCCAAAAGCAATTCTAGGAACACTTAAAAGTTAAAACTAATTTGTAGATTAGCATACTTGCAAGTGTAAATGAGCAATGGCTCGTTTGTAAGTTGACGAATATAAGAGTTCATTTAGTTAAAAAAGAAAAAGAAAAATGAAAATCGGGATGTTTTTGGATGGTATTTAAACATATTGAGCATTATAATTCTATCAGATATGTGATTGCTCGATTGTTAAACAGGAGCTCGCTGTGTTGCCACCTTATTGCATGAAATGAAGCGCCGAGGCAAAGATTGTCGATTTGGTGCGGTGTCAATGTGTATAGGTCTCTCTCTCTCTCTCTCTCTCTCTCTCTCTCTCTCTCTCTCTCTCTCTCTCTCTCTCTCTCTCTCTCTCTCTCACACACACACACACACACACACACACTCTTGGTGTGCATACGCATTTCTAAGCTTGAACTTGTTGGAAACTCAACTGCAGGCACTGGGATGGGTGCTGCTGCTGTTTTTGAAAGAGGCGATTCTTGTGATGAGCTTTCCAATGCACGCAAGATCGAAGCACAGAACTTTCTGTCCAAGGATGCTCGATAAACTCCATTCCTAGCTTCACGACTTTCAATAATTAGTATTATATTGGCATTCAGAATTCAATAATATCATGTAATAATTTCTGGGCGATTCTCGACTTCGCCCCAGTGAAACCCTAGTTTCATAGGTATAACCAAATCAATCACGACGGGTGTGGTGTATGGTGTAAGTTGAACGATCTCTGTTTCAGAAAGAACCTTTTCTCTTTGTATTACTCTATGCATTATGGAGGCATTCTTGCATTGTATCTTCCAATTAATAGATTTATTGTTCATTGTGAATTTGGTTATGCACTTGAGTAATAATTATGATATTTTCCCGTCAATTAAACGTATGTACGATACATGCAAAGATGAGAGAACAATGCTCGCCAGATATCTCTTCCCCATCTCTGCGAAACATTTTTACAGAACATATGAATTCCCAAAACATCTCGACTCCCAGAAATGCAAAAAAGAAAAAATATATGCAAGGAAGGGAACAAAAAAAAAATTATAGGAGTCTTTCTGAACACAGCCTATCACCTTTAATTAACATCTCTCGAAAGTCGTTGCAAACATAGCCTCAACTTTCACCTTTCTTTGTCTCCGTCCCGCTGCCTCTCTCTAATGTCTTTCCATCTACACATTTTGTGATGTTTCGACTACATTTACTTTTATAAACAGAATACGCGAGAAGTGTTAATGGTCATGCTACTATAAGCATTGCTCATAACAATCACCTGTTATCAATGAGTGACGAGAAAGATGGCAGATGAATAAGTACTTCATAATTCAAGCGTTTCAATTAATTAAAACCAACATAAAAGGAAAAAAGTTAGAAATCGGAACCGAGGGATCATACACCGAGCTTTATTTCTCCAACTCGGGAGAGCTTTCGATCCGTACAAAAGCTTTTTCAATACCTAATCACTTATAATTTCCATGGATGACAAGATTTGCATCATGCATGTACATATGTTTCAATAATGCCAATATGCAAAAAACGAAAATAGGAGCATCGTTATTGTGTTTCTAATTTCTATGCGACAAACTAGGCAAATAAATAAAGATCTTTTTACAATTCAAAATCTTTGCAAAAAAGGGCAACTTTTGGACTGATAATGCTATTCCTCGAACACACCTAGGTTACGGATGACTTGCATACTGGACAAGATGTTTTCCTCCTCAGCCATGGATCGATACACTGAAATCTCAAAAACATATTAAGCACTCGTTATAACCTTAAACTGAAATAAATGATGAAATTACAAAAAAAAAAAAAGACAAACAAAAAAAAATTGTAAAAAGTCCATACATCTTTGTGAAATTTGTGTAAACAAGGGAGGTGGCGGATGGTGTCTCCGATGATTGGAGTATCAAGGCAAATTGCACAAGCTTCAAAATTATCACTCTGCATAAGAAGATAGATAACATAATATGCATCGATGTTCTGACAAGAAGCATGTTTGACATGTAGAACAACTTAGTTACGGGAGGGTATATTTGTCATACTGAGATAATTGTCTTGATTACCTGAACTGTGGATTGGGGGAGGCCGTTAATCTGACGAGTAGATGCACCACCATGGCGATCATTGTTCTCATCAAGAGCCAATAGCATTTCATAATCATTCCTAATCAAATATAATGGCATATTTTAAAAATTAAAAAATAAATAAAAGAGAGGGAAAATGCTATTTTCGACAACCATTTGATAGAAAATTAATTCTTACTCATTAAAATCACGGTTGGCTTGAAGCATGCCAGGGCTAACTTCCAAGCCACTCAGCTCTTCTAATGCTCCTAGTATATGCATTCTCTGCAAAACGAGGAAACTTATTAAGAAAAAAAGAAAGAACAAATAATCTGAGAAAAATCAAGATTAAAGGAATAAAGACTAAAATACCATATCAACATCCATGTCTGCGGGGAATAAGGAAGATCTTCCTCGACGAGAAGGTAACATTGTACGAGGTTGTCCAGGAAAACGATTCCTTGGCCTAGTCATTCTCCCCGATGTCGCGGCTCGAGATAGAGATCCTCTACGAGTTATATTTGACGAAGAACGAGGCTGGGATTGTCCATGCAGATTGGGGATTGGTACCTGCATAAAACCATCGGAAAATTGTCACGAAAAAGTTTTAGGCTTTCAGTAGCAAATGATAGAACATCCAAATTATTCGATGATCACAAATCAATACATAAATCATTCTCACATTGTACTGGAAATAAGGAAAGAACTAGTCAAACTTAGGACATGTCTAAATGAATTTGAATTAAAAAATTGGAAACATCTAGACAGTTCATCAAATTCGGACAAGTTCAACCAGGATGGGAGATGCATCTTACCCTATTAACAGATAAATTAATATGTATCATGTTTTCTTACCAGCAACATTAATGTAAATCAGCAAATGCTCAAGAAACATCCAATAACCTCTGCTCTTCATACGGTTCAAAGAGAGGAACTTGCAGAGATTATTGAAGCCACCAACAGTGAAAAAGAAAACCCAAACCAATACATGAGTTGTAAGAAATACATATCAAGAACACGTTTAAAAAAAAAAAAAAAACAGATTTCAGAAGGCTATGAGTACTATAAAACTATAAAGCATAAACAGGGTGACTCACTGGATCTAATAAAGGATGCCTTGCCCGAGGCAAATCAAGATTCGAATCATCCTGGTTCTGCAAAGCCAGTGCTATATTCTCATCCATCTGCCATAAAAAAATCCATTTAACTGCTACATCATAGGTAAAAACGTATATAAAAATATTGAATATACTTAGAAATACAAACCTCTCCAACGCCAAAAATAGGCAATTCACTGTAAAACTGTTCTTGTAGTTCAAGTGCCATCATTTCATCCGCTTCAACCTGTCTTGCCCTAACTTCTTCATCACGGTCATTGTTACGTCTCAATTCAGGAGAAGATTCATCAACCTCAATAATTGGTTGTAAATTGTTTGTATTACGTGAATTATAAGATTTCGGATTGGCTTCTTCTTGAGAAGAACTAAGAAACACAACTTCTTGATCACTAGAGACTGATGTAGAGCATTCACCCTGCTTCTGCCTTTTGATAAATGTGTCTGCTACAGAACGGGGCCCATTTAATCGTCCCAGGCGGGTCCCAGGCCCATTTAAACTTGGAGAGATTGAATTTGCATCCTTCGGATAGTTATCACCATTTGGAACACTAATTGCTTTCCCCTTTCTTTCCAGCCTATTATCATGGAGTTGACTGGAAAATCTCAGACCTTCGGTTTCCCTAATCGAAAACGGTTCCGTATCAGGTGACAAGAGATTTATTTCGCTACTTCGATTACGAGTGCTTCTCCACCCACTTACTTCTTCAATGCTTTTACCTACATTACCCCTGATGTGATCACTGCTTCCAAAAGCATTCTTATCGAATCCGGTAGAGCTCCTGCAAGTAATTAATTTACAATGAAATTCGTTCTTTGAAATTTTTATCGTGTGGTCTAGTAATTTAGAAAAAGAGTTGCTTCATAAAGTTCCAGCTTATATTATTGAAAAGGCATCAAGGTCTCTTCAGGTTCAATTCACAAAACTTCTTAATTAAACTGCATGCTCATGTGTGTATGTGTGAAAAAGAAGTGTGCTGTGTGCATGTATCTGTACTTCAATTGAATCACGTAATATTAACAGATTAGATATTTGACATAGACACTCAGCATATATATATTTACATCATATGCATCTAAACTATCGTCTGAAGAAGATATTACCTACTTATAGAAGCCAACTATGCATGTACAATATATATATTACATATTACATGCCAATGCATTTATGTATCTTCTTTTATAAGAACTGGAAATAACCATCTAGTTTTGTGTTCGGGATAAAAACAATACCTGCCATACGGAATCTTATTTTTTATATCAGATCCCTTTGATGACCATGAATGATTTAACGCTCCTTTGCCCTTTCTATCTTCAGCAACCAATTCCCTTATATCAACAGAAATAGGTGGAGCACTCGACACTACAGAGCCATTATTGCAACATGCAACACCTACAGAGCCATTAATATCCTTTCCAGACAACTGCTCAGCCTTGGCTATGTTATTGGGAGATATACATCCATTTCGTACCAATCTCTTTTGCTTATTCACTTTAGGCGAGGAAATCGGATCACGAGAGAGAAAACCATTATTAACAGGTTTTTTCTGATTATTAACAACAAAATCGAGTCTTTCTCCAAAGACGGTACTTGAACCACCTCCACTCACACCGTCTCTTTTTTCATTGCATGACCTAGTTGAAAAATTCGTCAACCCATGCAACGAAGAAGCCCCATTAGCCAATCCTGATCTTTTCCCGAACTCAGCTCGCATATTTCCACTGCCAGGTCTATGCAGATCCCTTTCTGTAAGATCTATAACACTATCGTCTTGACAAGAAGAAGACTTGGAAACACGATTTTGGAAACTAGGGTTCTTCTCGGTCGCCCCTTTCCGAAATAGGAGTGCGTTTCTCGAGGAAGATGAACTCGTATTCGATGTAAACCCTGTGGCATTAATGGGATTTCGAGAATTGCTAGAACTGCTTGCAAGTTTTGGAGGATGCAGGGGAAGCTTTCTTCTTCCACCCTCAATTACCATTGGCTCTTCTTTAAAGCCTTGTTCGTGAAATTTTTGCTGCAGTGAATTATTACAAGGAAATGATGAACGCTGATTTCCTTCTCTGACGCCACTCCTCCCATTGATCCGCTGTGTAGCTAGTCTATCGGGAGTGTCGGGAACTTCTACTATATCATCAATGTCCATTTCATCCATAATCTGTAGGACAAACAAAAGGAACGGATTAAATTAATCTACAAACTATTGGTTATTAATGATTAGTATTACTCAAGATCAACACTTTCCACTCATGGACTAAAACAAAGATTGATTTCATCTGAATTTTCATAGAAGAGCCAAAGGAGTGAGAACTTTATTCGATATTCCCGAAGAAAGGGATCCATTAATTAACCACGTAACAAACAAGGTATACAAATTCAAAATTTTGATTTAACAACCAAGGATGAAACCCCTTGATTTATGGGGATAATCAACACTAAACATATTTGAAAAAATTAGAACAAAATCAGAGGAACAACAAATCAACTGAAAAAAACAGGGAAATAAACAAAAAATTGTTAGATTCCGACCCTCACCTCATCCTACCACAAAAAAACGAAACCAAAAATAAATTAGAAAATCACTTAAAAATTAGAAAATAAACAAAAATTGGGGAAACGTTCAAACCATTTACCGACAAAAAAATAAATAATGTTTACATAAAAAACAGATGAATCGCACCTTTTCGAATCATAATTTTAATATTCAAGAGCGAAAAAGGAAAAAAAAAAAACCGGAAACCCTAATTAGGATATTTCACCTGTTCCGTCATTGAATTGGTCGGAAATGCAATGGCAACCAACAGGAAGAGAACGATGACAGGCACAGCAACAGTAAACAGTGAGAATTTGTTTGATAATTATACAAGGAAAAAGCCATAGCCAAATCTTCACCTTCGATTATCGAATCTTTCAGATGGGTAGAATGGTAATTTCACACACTGCGGAGAAGTTGAAGAGTTGGGTTATGCACTCCACTTTGGGCTTTCTCTTTCAATTTTTCCTGGATCCAAAATTAAACCATTACCCGTGGGCCTTCATTCGGTTTTATAAAATAAAAAATAAATTATTTTAAGTAATCAAATTGTATTAGTATTGTTTTAACATTACAATCCTATTATTGGAGTGAACCCCTTATTTATAGATTTTATTTTTCTTGATATGTATGTTTTATTACTGTTTTTTTTTTTATCTAAATAGTAATTACTTTCTTATTTGGGCTTGTCGTATTTAATTGGCATTTAGGTTAAACAAGCATCAGATCGCGTAAAACCCCGACCCGAAGTCATACCACAACACCTTATGGCCTTATCTCGCATCGTCGTACGCCGTAAGAGCAAACTACATTTTTCTCCTTGCTAGGGTTTCATTCTCTCTTCCGGCTGCTCTTGTTGGGCTTTACGTGCAATTGGTCTTATTTATTTGGGCGGCCCATAGAGACAACATATAGCCCATATATATATATATATGAGTGTGCGTGTGTGTGTGTGTGTGTGTGTGTGTGTGTGTTATATCATAAGACCTTAACATGTAAGAAACTAAGAATTCATGAATAAAACAAGCGCAGAAAGCTTGTGTCGTAGATAGATGGCAGCACACAAATCAATAACATTTTGAATATAAAAGGCTTAAAAAAAAAAAAAAAAAAAACAGATATACAATTACTGCAAGATTTAGCCATGCAAAAATAAAACCCAAACAGATTTTTTTGGGAAGATATACGAATTTGTTCCTAAAAATCGATACCTAATATCAGATTAATGAACCCCTCATTCCGAGTCGGGTGAGCCACCGGGAACCAGCTGCAATCAAAACATAAATATATTAGCCTCGAAATTTATGGCACTCACGAAAATATAGGATAAATTTTCAATGGATTTATCGTAAACTTACTATTGCAATGTTGTTTCCATTAAGCAAGATTTGATCGAGTTTTGTAATGCGTCTTCCTTCGGAGGTGATCTCGCTGAATAAACACATTGGATAACAAAATCGATAGTTAAAAAAATTGAATGAAGGAGAGTAGTAATTATAACAACTATGAAGGACAAACAAGTATTAAAAAAAACATTGACTTCGTCAGTTATGTAATATAACGATGACCTTTGTCAAAATTCTGAGCTCGACTGACTAAAAAAATATAGAGTTGAAACCTCTCCGAAACACAAAATTAGAAGCAAAATAGAGGAATTCCTAAATCCGATTATACCTTTATACTTTTCATCGTTTTAGTCACCACGTAATCATTCAATAATTGGTCATGATTTTTAAGTAAATTTTACAACTTATACAAATTGAATATATAGACGAGGAGAAGCATTATCCTAAATGTGATGACCACCAATATCTGGGATACACGTTATTCAAGTTCAATCGAATACAAACTCAATATCCTTCAAAATAGGAATATTCTAGTTATTGTGCAGCCATCATAATGTAATAGTATACCTACATATTTGGTTTGGCATTCTCAATCGAAGGACTACAACAAACCCTAATTGAGATGATTTGGTGCCGCAAATAAGAATATTCCCTCCACATATTTGGGTTACATTTGCATTTCTGCCACTATAACAGGTTAGACGCGAGTTTTTCTTGACATAGAACTATCTTAAGATACGGTTTCCAAGTACCCGAGTAATTCTAAATTCTCGTTAACTGGAAACTTGAAGTGTCACAGCATGATACTAAAGTTGTTCGTTACAAGATTATCGACCACTGTGGATCTTCAGAAGCAATAATGAAACCACTAATTACCTTAAAAATATAACCAAATCAAAACGGAAATCGTACAAGTTGTCTTCCTATTCGTTCATTGCATAAAAAAGTGCTAGGAAAAAAACAAAACACACCTAGTTAATTAAATGTAGCCGAACGAGAAAATAAGACCCGATGGTTTCATCCGAACTACTTGATGATATCTTACGATTCAAACAGTTATAGTTCTTAGCTGTATCAGATTCAGACACACAAAAACTCAACATACAAACAGCAAAACCAACATCAATATAATCAATTCATCTGCAGAATTCACCATACAAACATTTAATTTCAAGAGAGAGAGAGAGAGAGAGAATTTCGATTAACAGACTTACTATTCAGTAACATCCTCCAACACCATGTTAACATAAACATCGAATCCACGGAGAATACCAACCAACTCTTTGTCTCCCTTCATTATAACCCATATTTTCGACCCGACGCACCGATCAATCAGCTCTGAATTGCAAAATCAAACACAATAAACAAAGACCCATTAAAATCAATTTTAATTAGTTTCAGGCGATTTCTTCAAAATTCAAGTTAGGGTTACTGGGGAATTAAATTTAAACAGCCGTTTAGAAAAACGAACCTGATGGGAAGAGCTGCGACGGATTGTTCGACGACATTGATGAAAGAAATTTGCAGAATTGAGAAGGGGGTTTTTCAATTGGGGTTTTGGTTCCAAAAGTGTGTGGAGAAGACGACAGAGTGTACACCAAATTGTGCTGAAGTTGCTTCCCAGAAACACGATTATTGGGCAAAGTATAGTAATTTAGCTAATGGGGTTTGCATTAAGGAAGAATTGTAACTTTGGTCTTATATGTTGGTATCTTTAGGGATTTAGTCCTATAAGTTGTTCTATTTCAATTTTACACGCAATAATTATGCAAAAGTAGTATTTTTAGTCATATTTCACCCGAACTTTGAATTTTAGCCGTTGTTTAATGATGTACCTAACAAACTGCAGAAATTTATTTATATGGACACTTAGAAACTATAAATGCTCCTCTAATTTGGTTTATAGATGAGTCGTCTCGCATAATTAATGTTCTACCAATGGTAAGCTAGATGTCGAATTTATAAATTTCCAAGATTATTTGCCGCATCATAAAATTAAAAATCATGTAAAATAGGACTAAAAATACTATATTTGCAATATTATTGAATGTAAAACTGAAACATGACAAGTTAGAGGATTAAATTCCCAAATAGGCAAACATAGAGGACCAAAACTACAATTTTCTCTTTACATTAAACTAATTTTACAAACTACTTGGGTTTTGATGTAATTTATAAAAGTGGAGGGGTATTTTCGTAAATAAACTTACCAATATTTCTATGTATTTTGTAATTTACCCTTATTTCTATCTAAAGCCAATTTGTTAACAAAAATTATGTATTTTACAATTCAACATAAATAAATAATATTAAAAAAAAAAATGATCCGCTTACATTGGCCATTACTCTCCATAATTAGATCTTACAATACAGGAGAACGATACATCATCGATTAGTCCGAATACACGGAAAAAAAGTCGAGCACAAACTCGTAAAATTCAAAAATAGCCGCACAGATAAATACCAAATTTGTAGGCTTATGAAGAATCATTGATCGAAGAAAGCGAACCATCTCTATATGTCCTACGGAACCTTCCAATCTTCTATTCATCCGTCACACATCCATTCGAGGCCGAAAGTACATTCTTAATGTACTGAAAAAAAGAAGCAAGAAATACAAACTTAAATCGGAGCTTTTCAGACAAGTGCAATTGACTACATTATATATAATATATTTACGTTACGTACCTTGTAAAGAACTCCTCGATCAGCCTTGTAAGCAGGTGGGGCCCACCTCTTTCTGCGCTCATTCAACTCCTCGTCTGTTAGCTTCACATCCATTCTTCGATTCTTAATGTCTATTGTGATAATGTCTCCATTCTCAATCAGACCAATCGGACCCCCTTCCTGAAATTTATATAAATGTAATAAATTTTCATTTTCAAGACAATGAAATTATCTGTTCAAAATTTGCATTTGCATTTGCATTTACCCCTCTATTAATTTAATATGACGAAAACTTTGTGCTTCGCGAGAAAATGAATTAAATGAAGGCAAGATTACCTGCGCCTCGGGACAAATGTGGCCCACCACATAACCGTGCGAGCCTCCAGAAAACCTTCCATCAGTTAGCAACGCAACTTCCTGGGAAAAGAAAAATTCAAATGAAATTTCGGCTAAATGGCAATGAAATTAAATTAACTTTAAATTATCAAAATAAAACCTTGCCAAGTCCAGCCCCCATTATTGCACTAGTCGGGGTCAGCATTTCAGGCATGCCAGGACCACCTTTGGGTCCTTCTCCTCTAATAACAACTACTTTCCCCTGAAAAATTAATATCATCAATTTTTACAGTGTCTTTAAAAAAATATCTGGTTAATTTAAAGGAAAAAAAAAAAGAATAAGATGCATTTTTTTGTTAAAGAGGAAGCAATCGGTTTTACCTTAAAACTTGTTGGATTCTCGGAGATAGCTGCGATCATAGATTCTTCTCCTTCAAATACGAGTGCAGGGCCTATAAAATAAAAATTTCAAGAATTAGTTCCTATGCAATAATGAGACAGCGCAAACTATATGAAAAAATCGGGATAATACGAAAACAAAAAATAAGCATATTACCTGAGAAGTATAACCCTTCTTTCCCGGTGATTTTAGCCACAGAGCCTTCTGGTGCAAGATTGCCGTACAGTATCTGTATGTGACCAGTTTCTTTGATCGGGTTTGACAAGGGCCTAATTATTTGCTGCAAAATAAAACAATTATAACAAGAAAACGAGAGGCACTTACTCGGAGCAGAAGCATGAAATAAACAATTTACGAGAAGAAAAAAAATTTACTGCCACAAACATACCTGTCCTTCGGACAGGGCAGGAAATAGCTTCGCATTCTCAGCCAAAGTTTGTCCCGTCACTTCAAAAAAATAAAAGTGAAAATTATGGTGTCCATTTATATAACATATATGTATGTATGTATTGTATTATCAACAAAAAAATTGAGGAACTTACCTGTAAGACAATCCCCGTCTAAAAACCCGAGTTCCAATAACATTCGAATGATTGCAGGTGTACCTCCAATCTAAATTATGAAAATATTAGAAACTATTCGAGGTACAATTGAAAAACGAGATTGTAAAAATTTAAATTAAAATACCTTGTGTACATCTTCCATAACATATTTACCGCTAGGCTTAAGATCTGCAAGAAACGGAACTTGATCGCTGACCTTTTGGAAATCATCTAGAGTTAATTTCAGACCAACAGACCTGCCAAATTCATATGCTATTTATTGTCATGAAAATGTTTTTACTTTTTTTTTTTGTTTTCATGAAAAAGGAATTGTACTAACTTGGTAAATAACCCACCTTGCAATGGCAATTAAATGCAAAACTGCATTAGTGGACCCACCGAGCGCCATCACCATAACCATCGCATTACGTATGGATTTAGGGGTGATGATGTCACGAGGCTTCAAATCGAGTTTAAGCAACTCTAGCAAATATTTGCCAGCGAGGCGGCATTCATCTAATTTCAGAGGGTCTTCTGCTGGGGTCGAAGAACTTTAAGAAAAAAAATAGTTAAAAAAATAGTTATGCATACAAATTTGTTAAGATTGTAAAACAATTAAATAAAGTGCTCGATTGTATTCTTTTTACCTGTAAGGAAGAGACATGCCCATTGTTTCAATAGCTGAGGCCATTGTGTTTGCGGTGTACATTCCACCACACGCCCCTGCTCCAGGGCAAGAATTACGAACTACTGCCATCCTTTCTTCGTCGCTTACAGTACCATTCACGTACTCTCCATAAACCTACAGAAACAATCATTTAGTGATTTTATTTTTTTATATTTATTTTTCCGTAGAGGGAAAAAAGATGGCTAAGTTCAAGATAAACAAACGGACTTACCTGGAAAGCGGATACTATATCATATGTGTGACCTTGAAAATGACCTGGCTGCAACGAGACCAATAATACGAAAAATCAGTATCACCTTCGAGGCGAATTTACAAATGCGTACAAATGTATAGAGTCAACTATGACGTATCGTAATACTTTCGGAACGATGATTAAATATTTTTTGATTCGTCTGAAACAAAATTACCAACGAAGCTTTTGTGTTATTTTTCAAGAAACAAAAGTCAAATTGGATCACGATTCAGGCATAATCTAATCCCTTTCGTAGAGTCCGAAAATAAACTACTAGTCTACTTACAAATAAGAAAGAAAAAAAAAATAGACATGAAAAACGAAAACCTACTCAAATATATTTTGAAGACAATACAATGGTACTCGTAATCCTATGATATCAACTACAAAACGGACAACTCGATGTGCACGACTTTGAAATGAACACGATCTCATTAACCAAACAACAGGAATTCCTTTTACCGATAACGGATATTGAATTAGCAACGAGATCTAACCTTAATTGTTCCACCGTAGACCATAATGCTCGGTCGATTCAGTCTTCCCATAGCCATAATAGTACCTGGCATCTGCAAGTAAAGAATTTCAATGATCTAGTACGACAAAATAACACCACGAAACTGATTTACTCCAACAACTAACAGAACAGAGAAGCTGAGATACAGCATTGGCTATCAAAGAAGCTTTTCGGGACTCAACCACATTACCAATTAACCAAAAAAAAAGACGAAATTACCTAATCGAATCCAATTTTATTCACAATTAAATCAAACATAAACGAAATCAAAATGGGACTGAAGATAGAGGAATCGGGGTTTTACGTTCTTGTCGCAGCCGGGGATGGAGATGTTGCCGTCGTACCACTGAGCAGCCATGACGGTCTCGATGCTGTCGGCGATCAAATCCCTCGATTGCAGACTGTAGCACATGCCTCTGGTCCCCATTGAAATGGCGTCGCTCACGCCGATGGTGTTGAACCTGAACCCGACCATCCCGGCGTTCTCGACGCCTTCCTTCACCGCCTCGGCGAGCTTCAGCAAATGCATGTTGCAGGTGTTGCCCTCGTACCAGACCGAAGAAATCCCCACCTGGGGTTTGTGCATGTCGTCATCCGACAGGCCCACGCCGTAGAGGATCGCCTGGGAGCCGCCCTGCGACTTGGGCTCCGTGATTCTCGAGCTGTACTTGTTGAGATTCGCGGCCGCGGCCGCCGCCGGGGGCGGTGGGACGTCGGTTTCGGTGGTGGCGGCGCGGATTGTGAAGGAGGAGGGGGGTTTGAGGTGGGCGGAGGATGGTGGGAATTGGGTCCTGAGGGATGTTGGTGGTGGTGAGTGGGGGAGTAGGAAGGAGGCCTGCATGGTGGCTGAGCGGCGGCGGCGGCGGCGGTGGTTTGTGGTGGTGGTTGGGGTTTAAGGGAGGGGTTACTGAATAGGATGAAGATGGGTAGTGTAGTGTGACAGCAGAGAATTTGGGCTTTTGGTTGTTGGAAAAGCTATATTTGGATAAAGCCGTAATTAGCCCATAATATTGTACAATTTTGAATAAATTATTAGTTCGATAAATTAATCGAATTTATCGATGCTGATTGTATTAATATATAGAGGTTTAACTGTATTTTATCGATAAAAAATTCAAATTTACCGTAATAACTCAAATTAATTTGAACTTGGATTTGCTAATTTAAAATTATTTATGGTCGTTGTACTATGGGACGAAATTGAATTGATAGGATCGAAATTATCGTTTTTGAAAAAAATCAGGAAATGGGAATTGGAATTTTGAAAATTGGAATGAAAAAACTCGTTTCGAAAATTGGAAATTTTCAGTTTGGAATCCCCAAAATTCGGAAAATTCCATGTATTTACTCACCCGAAATATAAATATATAGATACATAAATTTCGGGAAACATTATCGATTCAGAAAACAGAATCTCAAATATATTTATATTCCGGTCCAAACAAAATGGACTCGGATTTTTAATTCATAATGAAAAATATTGTTCCATAATCCAAAAAAAACTTAGAACCTGAATCGACGAAAATCGGATATTTTATTCCAATTTTATTTTATAACCCTTAAATATACAAATCCAAATAACCTCCATGCAATTTTTTTCTTTTTCTTTTTATATTACTAGCATTTTTTCCCCTTGCGAAAATAATCAATTTAATATATAATAATAAATATAGTATATAGTAAAATTTAATAATATAGTATTATTCATATTATAAATAACATTAGTCTTTTTAAATATTGCAGATTAAGATTTATAATCCAAATATATAGATTAAGATTTAACAAATCGAATTTCTATGTTTATCTCTTATGATTTGAAATATATTGATGAAAAATAGGAGATTGGTAATTTTTGAAAATTATAATAAAAATTTAGTAGAAAAAAATATTAAAAATAAATAATTACATAAACACCATTAGGGATTTTTAGAACTGCCCAGCGTTTCTTTCTTTTATATATAAAATTTCCCATTATTATACCTACGGGTTTGGACTACAATCAAACTGGCCCAAATTATGGTGGTTGCAAAGCCTTGTATCAGTAGCAAGCTAACCCTAATGGGCCTTTTAACAAGTAATTTCATTTCCAGCCCATTGAAAATATGTAAACCATTTAAAGGGTACCATTTCATTTTTATTTATTTTTTATGATAAATTACGGATAACTTTCGGGGTAAGAATAAATAACTTACAAATCTATGTGGTATTGGTAAATACAAAAATCCGTAAAACTAACTACCCATCATAAAACTTAACGGGATGAATGAATTGTTACAATTATCATTTTATTAAACAAACAAACTATGGATAAATTACTCGTATCCCTTGAGATAAGAAAATATATTATAATTACGTCCATCAGGGTAGATTTGAAAATTCACAACGAATATTCGATGGAATCTTGCCGCCCGGCTAATTTGGATTGGGCTTTTGCAAGAATGGCATTTGTTGAGTATTTGAGATTCATAGTTTAATGGGTAGAAAGTGTCCGGTTTTCGGTTAATTAAATTTTGCCGGGCCGGATCTTATATCCCCTCGTAACCTATGTAATAAATTTTAATATTTTACTTCTAGATTGAACTAAGTCCAACTTAAATTGTATGATAGAGAAGTCATACGGTTTTCTGCACACAAGAAAAAATGTAGGATTGAAAAGTATTATTTTGGTAATTTATATATACTAGTTATAACAAAAATCGTCAAGATTGAAACTTATTTGGCCGCATAATATTTGTACTATTCAACTTTTATTTTGCTTTTGAGTATTTTATTTGCAAAAACTTTTACAAATAGATTATAAGTTTTTTTGTTCATAATCTATTTTGAAGTGTTTATAAAATAAATTTTTGTTTTTTCTTCTCTTAAAATAAGGTGGTGTTTGCAAATGCTTTTTGAAAGTGATTATGCGGTTTTTTTTGCTCATAATCTGTTTTTAGGTGTTTGCAAAATCATGTTTTGCTTTTGCTTCTCTTAAAATAATCTGCTTTAAGCTATTTTTTTAAAAGCACCCATAACCCTGCTTTTCCAATTTTAGTTCATTTTCCGAAATATTTGCAAACACCCCCAACTTTTAGAAATAAGCACTTAATACTAACTTAAATCACAATCACTAACTTCTGCTTTTATTGCAAACACCACCTAAGTAATTTTAAGCTATAATTTGTTAAACACCGATAATTATGTTTTTTTCTATTTAAATTTATTTTCCAGTAAATTTGCAAACGCCATCAACTTCTAAAAATAAGAACTTGAAACCAATTTAACTCACGATCCAAACTTATGTTTTTTAAATAAGTTTTTTACAAACACCATCTAAATATTAATTAATTAAATAAGACTTTTCTATGTTTTCTTTTTCTTTGTCTTTTTTGCATATAAAGTAAAGTTCTTAGTTCTTCGGCGCGTGTTTATAAAGTTCATTGCTCCTACCATGGTTAATCAGTCAAATGTATTCTTAGTCAGAAAATTTGAGCACGAGTTATACTATTACTCTAGTCAATAAAAACACTAGACTTTTCTGATAAATAACTTCGACTTATAAGAAAACCATTGAACATACGACAACTTGTATTTTTCTTAATTTTATACAAATATTTCTAAATAAAAGAACAATTGTGTTTTGCCATTTATGGATAGTGGGACAAATGATAAATGAGAAAAAAAATCAAAGTTAAGAAAATTGATGTGCACACATTTGATTCTGTTATAACGAACGGAAAATTGATGAGATGACTAAAAATGATGAAATTCGAAAACATGAGGGACCGCATATATTTTTTGTGAACATGGAGGACCTCATGTGCAATCGATCAATACCAATTTGAGGGACCCAATGTGAACATATATTATTATTACATTTAGACTATGAGTTCGAGTTAATATATAAGAGAGAGAGAGAGAGAGAGAG